TGCCCAGGCCGTGAGTGCCTTCCCTCTAAGGCCCAAGCTCCAAACTGTGGGTAGCCAACCAGCGGCTTGCCCATGGCCATGCATTCGACTGCCGAGTTTCCTGACTGCTTCGTGAGCTATTTGTCACTTGCACGCACACACCCCCTTGCCGATGCCTCCACAGTGGGACACGAAGGCCTTCACCTTTGGGTGCGCCAGCGACCGCACCGTTGGGACCCAATGGTGGATCATCACGCTCGAGGGTAGTGTATCTGTCGGACAGCACGTGATGCGTGATTCTGCTGTCACAGGTGCACGAGAATTTCGCGGTGCCTGGCAAGTGGACCTGCTGTGGTTTGGGCAGGGCCCACAGCGTGAAGTACTCGGTAGACGTGAGGGTGGAGAGCATCGCAGCCACCTGAGGATTGGATCGTGCTGAGGGGCTGGGCCAGTGGATTCTGTCGGCACTGTCAACAGCAGTCTTGGCCCGGAACCCTTTCGGGAGTCAGCCGCACCACGGTTCCAAAGCTCACCTTGGAGACTTCCCCAGCTTCAATGAACTGGCGGAACCACGAAGCCCATGTGCCGAGAAACATAGACCACCGGCATGCCATCAGGTACAGCCTCCAACCAAGACCTTGCCAGCGCGCGAAACGGGGAAGAGCACAAACCAGGTTCCAAGATTTGCTCGAAACCTGATCCTATCATTCTAGTGCCACTCCACCAAGAGTCTCCACTTCTTCTGGGAAGGGCTCCATCTTTTTCACATCCACGACCGGGCCCGTGTACCTCGGCTGCTACTGTCTTCTGGCTCTCTGCGCTTCCTGAAGCAGTGTGCAGCATGTGCTTGAGCTTGGGCACTGCACCAAAGGTGGCAGTAGCTGCGGGTAGTCAAAACCCGGGATGCTGTTCACGAATGTCAGATGCCCACTCCACATATCCGGGCCTTGGCTCCCAGAGGCAAGTCCCTGCCAGGGTTCATGTCATTCTTGCTGACAAAACTAAAGTTGAAAAAATAAAAATAAAAAACATAGGTCCGAAGCCCTCCGAACTCGGACGGCGGGCCCAAGCGGTTCCAAGCTGCTGAGATCCGGCATGAAGGAAAACTGAAAGCCTGCAGCCGCTCCCAGGTGCCGTCCAAAGTTCCTCTTGAACGAGAGCAAAGACGAAAGAAAATCGTAAGCGGTGCTACGCCACGCGACATCACCACGCAGGTATGCCAAGATTCATCAGAGAGTTGCTTCCGATCACAAGAAGCCTGCAAGATGAGCTGAGGGCAGAAGGGTCCGGGCCTGCGGGAAGCTCTCAGAACCCTTCTGCCTGTCCAGAAAGGTCATGTTGTGGGGATTCACCAGGTGAATCGGCATCGGTATGAAGGAATTCACCCACCTCTGCAGTTTCACTGGACGTGATGATCTATGTTTCCAGAGACTCCGAGGATCAGCTGACCACGCCCACACCCCAAGAAACTACAGGTTCGGAGCAACCCACAAACTCCCAGTCTTTTTGATCATATTTGTGCGGGTTGCAAAGCCATGCTGTCCGACACCCGAAAAGAAATTCAACCAAACCTGGAGGGAGGTCCCCCACAAAGAAACTCCAAAACCCACAGACCACAAGGAGCTTCTTCTTGTGCCAGGGCTGTGGTTCCACGTACAGCAAAATCACGTGTGATTTCTTTGGCGCCTTTGATTTGTTGGAAGAATTAGCATGTGTTCAACTTGCTTTGGTTTGGCTTCCGAAATCGCCCGTTCCTATGAGAATGGGAAACTACTAGGAGCAAATCCGACAATTTTGCTACGAAGTTGGGAATCTCCTGACAATTGCTAGGCAACGAGAGAAAATACCCGAACAAGTTCTGCACCCTGCAAGTACTACATGTCGTGCATGTCGCGCACCAACAGAACTCCACTTAACTGCAGGAGAAGCAACAGTTCCAGAAACTACCACGACACCATGCTGTCGACTCTCTTGAAGTCTACTTTACAGGGAATAAACTGCCCCCTTCCCCTTGGACTCTTCAACCGATCCTAGCGGCGGGCTGATTGGCGGAATGAGGATTGTTGGCACGTTCACCTCGAGGCACAGCAATGCAAGCTGCTCGGCTTACACCTTCGCGCACCTAGCCACGAGGCAAAGTGAATCGACCACGCCTGCTGTGTAAGCTACTATAACAGCATGATGCCAAACAGGAAGTGATGGTATCAAAGTCGGAGGAATGTGATGTGTGTTTTATCAGTCTCAGTCCGTCCACCCTTGCCAGAGCGGCTGCCTTGCAAATGTGGTTCAAGCCCGGTGTAGGCCGCGGTCCACCCTGAACAAGCCTGCAAAAACCCTCTTCCAACCCAGACTCCCAATGAAGTCACTGGAGGCAAGCCAAGTGGCTGCAAAGTCGATACCGTAGGCCTGCAGCTCACGCCCCACAGCACCGAAAGGAAGTGCGAGGAGAGCGAAGGACGGCTTCCTGGGCTGGCACACATCATCTTTTGAGGCTGGGCACAGGAGACCTGCCGTTGTGTGTGCCATCTTGGCCATCCTTCGGGAGACGCTTGCAAGTCACACAGCCCTGCCTAAGTGCCCGATCTGGCACAAAATAGATCCAGAATCTAGAACCGGGGTCTGCGTAGCCCAAGGCATCCGAGCAACACCTCCCCGCTCTTGAGCAACTTCGCCACGCCGTCTTTCAATGGATCGAAGTAGGGCTTCATCATGTTCTTGACCATGAAAGGCGTCTACGGGGATAGGCTCTGATCGACGGCACCAATTAAAAGTGCATGTCAGTGAACATAATATGAAGGAGACGCCTGACCCTCCTCCTGCCTGGCGCAGAGTGTTGTTCGAGGAAAGCATCTGCCGCGCAAATTCCTCCTCCTGCGCAGAACACCCGCAGATGCCCGGATGCCCTGCATAGGCTGCCCCCAGTTGCGGCCTATGACCCGAACTTCCTTGTCATCACTCACCGGAAGCTCGCCGAGGCTGATGTAATTCAGCTTGCAACTCGAAGCATACTTCGCCACCTTCTGCCGTCCTGAAAACAGCAGATTCTAGCAGTGTAAGTGGCAGCTGGGAAAGGAAAGTTACAGTCGGACCTCGGTTCAAGATTCCAAGCTGAGGTGTCACAACGCTCAGGCTGGCGAAACAAGGTCTCAGTTCATCCTCGTTCTGCAAAGCTGATGACAGTGACATTGTGCCCCCTGAGGCAGAGCTCCTGCATGCATCAAGCTTCTGCCAGGAGGCACTGCCTTGCGAAAAAAATCGCCGTCCTGCCCGATGGAGATGCAATTGTGGATCGGGGAAAGCGGAACTCCAACAATGAGGAAGTCAAACTTCTCGGCCATGGGACCTGCCAGCTTTGCGGAAAAGGCAACCTCCAAGTGTCGTCTCCCTGCCTGCACTAGTGGAGCCAGGCAGAAACGAGATCACAGGAGCCGAGAAGCTTTAAAGGCCCAGGCCGCTCAGGTTTCGAATGGTTTCAACAAGAGCACCAACTTCAGTTCATGTGGCTGGAGTGCCCAATCCATCTTGCCCAATCACCCGTTCACTGTTCGTTGAACCCGCGGTGTAGCAGCGTAGCATATAACACCGGTACTTGGAACTGAAGCAAGTGCAACATCCGGTTGTTTTCCTTGCAGGAAACGAAGGGTTGATTGGCAAACTGAATTTTGCGGCCGCTGGCTGTCTACCGTTGCGCAGACAACACAACTGCAAGCATCATTAACGTCTGCAGGGGTAAGATCCAATCCCAGTGCAGCATGACAATGAAGCCTGGCCGTATGGAACCATGCAGCATCATGGACCGTTATCAGTGCTTGTGTGCATACATGCATGCATGCATGTATGTATGTACGTATGTAACTACTGTACTTAATGAAACTAGTGTAGCTTATGTCAGTAATGTACTCAGTGTAACTGAAATTAGTGTAATTGAAGTACTATGTACTGTAAATAAAATGTAAGGTACTGTAAAATCTGTCTGTATGAATCTATGTCCGAATGGCTGCAGGAATCTATGTGGGCATGTCTGTATATCTGCGTGACTGCATGAAGGCATGTAGGTAGGTCTGCCTGTCTGCTTGCCTATCTGTATGCATGTCTGACTCAGGTACTTGCGCGATGCAACGCAATACAATGCAGTATAATATAGTAATGTAATGTATGTAATGTAATGCAATGCAATGCAATGCAATGCAATGCAATGCAATGCAATGCAATGCAATGCAATGCACTGCACTGCACTGCACTGCACTGCACTGCAATGCAACGCAACGCAACGCAACGCAACGCAAGGCAATGTAATGTAATGTAATGTAATGTAATGTAATGTAATGTAATGCACCCACGAATGCATGCGTGCGTGAGGGAATAGCATACAAATATGAATGCGACAGACAAATACGCACATACGTATGCGTATACATATTATATATATATATATATATATATTTATACGTGCATCTACCCACTCATTTGTTCACCCGTTTGTGCCTATGGAAAGCACTAGCACCGGTCTAGCCAAGTGCGACGAAACTTTCATCCTGGTGGTGTATACACATGTATCGACACACAAATTGCATACACCGAAACTACGTGTGTATGTGTATATATATATACATACATGTACATATAAAGATATATGCATGCACATGCATATGTATCTGTATACACATACACGATTTAGATACTTCTGTACCTATCTGTATAAGTTTGGTGTATACATGCATGTGTAGACAACATTTTCATGAAATGTGCCCAGGGCTTCTGGCACCAAGGCGTCTCTGGCATAATTACCCCGCAGGATGTCCAGGGCCGTCCGGTTTAAACGACCCGGAAGTGTCGGTTTCCGACAGCTTGAATCAGTCGGGATGGTGGTTGCAACAGATTACGCTACTTCATCGAAACAACTTTCTGCGTTGCTCGCTTTTTCGGTGGGTCCTGGCAGACAGAATTTAAAAAGTACAGCCCCCATCCCAACTCTCCATGCGCAGGTCTTCTGCACGTGTCACTATGAACACAACCCACCACTAGCGGTGGGTCTTCGGAACTTGTGGAAGGTTGAAGCTCACCTTTCGAGCCAGCCGCGGACGGCCTGGGCGTCCCACGGAGCTGGAGGTGTCCGTGTCCTGGGCGCGCGAAGACAACACGCAGCGACATCTCGCGAGGGTAGCAAGTAAAGGGCAAACCTTCGCAAAGCCGATGAAAGCATGTTAACACTGGGCGGCTGCCGCAGAGGTCACGGTGACGCTACTCGCCGACCTGCACAGGGCGTCACGTGGTGTCCCGTGTTGTACGCAGGTGCAGGCCAGAGGAGTGGATGAGTTTCGGTTGTATCATGATGAAACTATAACTATATATATATATATATACACTGTATATGCATATACATATATATATATATATTGTCAGTACCTCAAAGGAAGAGCTCGGCTCTAGCCGACTTCGAGAATGAAACAAACAAACTAGTTGTACCCATACTTGGCATTTTCTGGGGACAAGTTGCAGGGTGGGCTAAGTGGAAATCGCATACAGTTCCACCGACAAAATTCAGACTGTTGGCTGATTCGGTTTAACTATGAGCCTGCACATCCTCTTGGACGACACGAACAAAATGGAAAGTATATCGCCACAGAAGGCAGCAACATGTAAGAACGATAGTAGTCGTGATAACACACCAGTACCAGTAAGTCAATACAGCACCAATACCTGCTATTTAAACTCCTTGCACAGAACGTAATTGTCGCGGGCAATCATGCATGTATGCATGTAGATGTTATTCACCTTCCTTTCTGACCTACCTATCTGCCTACACACTGCAGCACTCTAAACGTACTGTGGACAGAAGGGTATGCAATCATGCAAAAATGCGAAATGTTTCGATAATGCTATCGAAAAGTGTGCAACACTTGGTACGCAACATTACGTCGGACAAAGCCATGTCGGAAACATTGTTCAAGCAAGTACAAGCACGAGTGATGGAGAAAAATTAGTTTGGATCTGATAGCACATAGAGTCGATGAGATGTAGTAGTATCTACCGTACAATGACATGCAAGTACAGCCATATGCAACGGCATTGAAATGAAGTGATGTAGTAGCATGGTAACCTGACAATGCATAGCAAAAGAACAGGCATGCGGTTGCATGTAACTGTGAGCGTGGCTTTATGCATGCATGCATCTACGCATCTTTGCAAAGGTAGGCTGACATAGGTGCAGTTGTCAAACAAGACTGCGTGATATGCTGCACACAAATACAAAACAACTCCATTAAAGAATGCCGCGGCAGTCGCCTCGAGCTCTGTGCCCCTCTCGCACGCACCCTGGCCGAAGTGATGAGGGGACGTCGAGCCTGCGAAGCGGAGGATGCGGACGCAGCAATAGAGAGATACGTCTTCTGCAACAATCAAGCGGAAGATGGCTGAGCTCCAGGGTTCAAAGCTGCACAATCGAGAGCCTATGCCTATGCTTTTCGCAGACGCCTCGTGGAACTCTGCAGACTCCAGGGTAAGCTCCTCCCAAGATGCCGCTGCCAAGAGTTGCCTTCTTGCATTGAGGTGAGAGCTGAAAGCAATGTAAGGTCAAGCAACGGTCCGATAAACAGCAATCGGTGATTTCAGCCCGTGCAACCGTGGCTGACTCCTCCATCCAATTTCTGCCTTGGGAAATTAGAGCAAGCATAATACTGAATGACCACAGGCACTGTTTGGCAAAGTAGCTCTGCGGGGATCTGGCTGCTTCGATAATGCGCCGCTCTGTGACCTCTGCAGATGCACAACATGTCAAATTCCCTACGCTGCAATTGTCCCAGCTGCATAAGAAACTCTAGAGGGAACCCTAGCGTAGCGGAGCGGTCGTGACTCCAGACCCCCCACACCTTATCAAATTACATAGAATACCAAGTACTAGTTGCCTATACATGATTATGCTGTGCCCTTTAGATTCTAGTTTCCCGGGAATGGAACCTCCGAGCGTGTCATCGGAGGTCGCTCCCAGAGGTGCTCCGGAGGCAGCGGAACGTAGCCTCGGCTGGACACGAATCGCACTCTGGCGAGCCGTGGTAACAAGAGTCCAGGTCCCAGGTAGTCTCGCCGAATGCAACAGCTACGTAGGACTCTGCAATGGTTTCGGCTGCATCAAAGAAGTCTAGCGCTCCCACCCTGACCAGCCCAAATCCCAAGAACTCTCTTAGAGCCTGGTTGACCGTCTTACTGAGATCTCTTTTCCGGTCTAGACACACCTGGGCAGTGCCTGCTGCGGTGGCGGTCTGTGGCCAGTTCTCAAACGTCCCGTTGCCGTCCAAAGTTTGAGGCCCTGGAGATTCGAGGGGGACTTCCAAGTTCGCGAACAGCTTAGTCAGTTGAGGGCTTGAGGAGGGAGAAGCTCAAAGACAAAATGATCAAGACAATCTCGAGGAGAGAGATGTGCAATCTTCTGGATAGTCTTCCGTGGCATTCACCCTGCGCAGAAACAACTACCGTTACATGGACAAGTTGCGGACAAGTTGCCATCGGGATGCCCTGTTGCTTATTTTCCGATTTCCCTTGTGATCCCGTCACATTAGCTGCTCCATGATTGCCGATGCCGCAGAGGCCAGGAATGACTCGGTCGGGGTTCCCGTGTGAGGTAGATGCACGAACTCGACGCACATCGGTAACAACGAAGAACGAACTGAAAACAACGCGAATGGCACTTGCAAGTGGAGCAACCGATCAGCGTAGTTACCAGCCTCCTGCAATGACACCGATTTCGTGCTGTCTCAAAGGAATGCCGAGTATGACTCGTTTTTGCAAAAGAATCACGAGGCATTCGTTTTGTCAAAGCACCGTGTGCCAAGCATACTCCGGCAATTGTTCCTATGCCAGGTGTGCCGCCAAAAGTCACTGCTTGTGGCAATGTCAAGGCTCCATTTTGGCAGCATGTAGTGAAGGCCCGAATGAAGACAAAGATGGACAAGGACGGATTACGAACGGTCGTTTCAGGTTCCTCTGGAGCATGCGTGTCTGGCAGGTGGCCAAATTGATAAGGCTGGCCGCCGCAATAGTCTTCCGCCCCGATCACAGCCACAGCCATCACCCCAGCCAACGCCCCAACACAGGCATGCAACTTGGCTTTGTTAGCGGGCCTTCGTCGCAACTGAGTGCAGCATCTCCGGATTACTCAAGTCCCGTGATCAAACTATGTTGCTATGACAAAAACATGGTTTTGTCGATTGCTTCACCCTAGACAGCAGAGGCAGCTGTCTGCCGCTTGACGGCGAATGCACATCTTTAGCTGCCAGTGGTCAGTGGCTGGCCGACCAAGCCCCGGGAAGAAACGGAACGTAAAGTTCAACGGAAGTCTTCATCCGCATCCGGCCCTCCTCGCCCTCGTCGATCGTCTGGCGCACCACCTGCACAGGAAACTGCCTGTCACGAAGTGCTTGTCGTTTTTGTTTCGAGGCGCCTTGCGAGCAGTGCGGCGAGCCACTTGCACGTTGTCCTAGGCTTGCAAGGCTTCGGAAGTCCCAGAGCTGTTCCTTCCAGGTTCCAGTCCAAGCTGCGATGCCACAGTAAATCCACTCCGTCTTTTTGTTGGTGAGGCCTCTGCTGAGCTGACAACTCGCGGAAAAAAGTAACAACTCCTTCGCCCACGGACCGAGCTTGAGAAGCTGCAACAGCTCGCCGCAGCCGACACATGCTTGCCGAGGCACGGCTCAAAAAGTTCGTCTCCAAGCCCTGGCGCACTGTCTCTCCGTGGCCACGGAGCAAACAATCAAGACGTGCCATGCAGAATAGATTTCGGACAAATGCCCTGGACAAGCACCATCTATGGATCCGCTCGCTTGAATTAGAGATGCATCGAACTCAAGGATACCTCCGGAGCATCGATGAGCTTCCCGTGCTCTCGGAGCATTTTGGCAGCCTTGTCTGCGCAACGTTTGGGGTTTAGGGCTGGGTTCTCAGACCTATACATGTCCCGAGATGCACAAAGCTCCGGGGCAATTGCAGACAACTCTGCATCCCAGTCCAATACACAGAGTGTTCAGGGGCAAATCGCTTCCAAGCTGCATCTGCGTCTGTGTTGGCCTAGGCTGCACAACTCAGCGAGAGGCAAATCTACAGCGTCGTCAGAAATGCGAAAATGGCCGCAGACTCCACCAATTTCACCAGGCCCAAGCTGCGATGTTCTGCGTCTGCGGCTTGGGCATGTCGGTGCGGTGAGGGACACCACGGGCGATGTGCAGATTCCTGGCAGTCGAAAAGCACCGATCTGCCACCAGCCGACGCGGATAAAACGAAACCACGCTGGCAACAGCAGCAGCAGGTACTACATGTAGCATCGTGACTACAAGTGATGCATACTCGCAAAGTGCAAAGTCAAGCTTGTCTGTGAAGACTTCACGGCTCCACGTTGAGGGTCTGTGTTTCAGGACTGCAACCTCGGCGTCACGTTGTGACTTGGCGGTGGCGGCGCTAGTAGTAAGAAGTAGTGGTAGTAGTCATGGGTTTAGGAGACGGAGTTGGTGTGGGAGTGCGAGTGGGATTGGTAGTAGCAGTGGTGGTTGTAGCTGCAGTTGTAGTGGTGGAAGTAGTAGTAGTAGTCGTAGTAGTAATAGTAGTAGTAGTAGTAGTAGTAGTAGTAGTAGCAGTAGTAGTCGTCCTCNNAGCAGCAGCAGCAGCAGCAGCTCTCCCTCTACGTCCCGTTCTGCTCCAGACACCCAACAAGAGGGCGCACAGGATCCCCTGAAACACTGCAACAACCCAGAAATGTCGCTTGAAAACCCGAACAAACTGCACCACGATTGCCTGCAGAGCGCAACAACCCCTGCCCCCTCATGCACCTCCAGGTGTCTTCTTCCTCTTCCTGCTGAGCAACGCCACCAGTGCGAGATCTTGAAGGCAACACGCTGTTTCGCTTGCTGCTGCTGGTAGCTGTAGGCTCTTCGACCGAGCAGAGCAGTGGTGCAGTGCAGAACACTCTGCCATCAAACAATCACATCCTCGTCGTTCACCATGGCCATGCCCTCGTCATCTGTTTCTTCCACGCACTCCTCCAATGCGCCTGGCAAACACTGGCATGTAACCTATCAGCTACCTGAGGCTTTCCAGAGTTGTCACCAGCGGCCCGTCCGGCCTCTTGCCTGAGCCTCGCCAGTTCTGGCAGAGGTCCGTGACTCCAACCTGTGCTTGACGACCGGACCTACGAGTACTTGTAAGTGTGTTTCATGTGTGCAATCAATATCTACAGTGATTTGGTTCATTAAGACGTACGATGCGCTACCCCCNNCCCCCCCCCCCCCCCCCCCGATTTAGGCTGCAAACGCGGCCCGTTTTCTGAAAGACTTGAAGCGGATCCGAGGCTCGGGCCGAGGCTCGCGCGAGTCGGGTCGCCTCCGCCCAGCAGTTCTCAGCCACTGATGGGGGAGGCGGGCATATTTAGGGAGCATATTTCTGAGGAGCAGGTTTCAATCAGCTTGCATCACCGATGTGATGAGTGAATGCAGCAGGAAAGAAAAATCCGAGGCGCAGCAGAGGAGGCCGCCTTGCCGTCGCAGCAACACTGGTGGCCACCGAAGCGCCCGTCTGAGGCCGCGGGGAGCTTGGGCCTGCACTGCTTAAAGGCTCTCGGTGCCGGCGGTTTTCTGGCACCAGGCCTGGCAAGGCCAGGGGCGCTTCGTCCGGCAGCTCGCCAGCTTCGGGTTCCTCACGAGATGTGAGGCAGCATCAGCTTTGAGCTGGGAGCCGCCACACTTCGACGAAAAACAGATCTACTCGCCAAGGCCTTGGATGTCCGAACCCCCACTGCTCTGCTCTAGCAAACCTCAACCCCTAGCCTATCCTGCCCTACCTTTTGCAGCCATCGGTGTAAGCAATCAAATCGAAGTTTGGTTGCCTTCCAAGGCCACGCCTCTTCCAGTGATGTGTGGGCAAACAGTTCCTCTGACGGAGCTTCCTGATGGTGAAAAACGAAAAACTCCAAGCATCCCAAACATTGGAGACGAGACCCTTGGAGCCTGACCTGCGGTGCCGGCTGGAAAGCATGGCCTTCGCCCCGAAGATGACCTTCGGAGCTTGGAGCGGTTTCCCTATCGACGTTTCCCGAAAGCAAGCGACCTATGCCGACAGATGTGACAATGGCCACGTTGCCATCTCCAGTGACCTCGACGCCAAGTCAGAGCTGGTCCACACTACCAGCATGCACGGAAATCCACCATCGACAGTGGGTAAATTGCAATTGGTTCGGCTATTGTCATCAATGTTGCTTCTATTTGCATGCAACATACGTTTGCATATCAGTTGGGACAAGCTCAGCTACACTGAGTTGTCAGAGCACAAACTCACTGTTTTGTCCACTCTTCCCTTCCGGACGGTGGCGAACTGAAGTCTCGAGCTTGGCTGGTAGCACTCTCGAACTGCGTAAGCACACGAACAAAACAGTTTCACAGCGGACTCTGTAATTACGGATGGGGGAGGTGGGAGAAACGAAAAAGCTACACTCGAAGTACGCACTCGGGCCTCTGCTGCAATCACAGTAAACACTTCGACACTCGCATGCTGCAGTTCTCGTTACACAAGCTTGTCACCATTGCACGACAAGTTCAGCTACACTAAGCTTGGGTGCAAGAGCACGGACTCACTCTATTTGTCCACTCTTCCCTTCCGGACGGTGGCGAACTAAAGTCTCGAGCTTGGCTCGTAGCACTTTCGATCTGCGTAAGCAAGCGAAGAAAAAGGTTTCACAGGAGACGCAAACGAACTAGCCACCCTCAGCGCCTCGAAGCCACCCTCTGCGTGCCAGCCGCTAACGAAGCTGCGTCCACAGCAACGCATGTTGAAAGCGTGAACCGGACAGGTGGCTAACAATCGATATGGCCAATATCTGGGCCATGGCTTCAAGCCAAAAACTTACGTTCTCGAAGAAGAAAGATCTGCGAGCACCCAAGTTGGCAGTTCTCTGAGAAAACCACGGGCTTGCGACCCGGGATGGCCACCACTGCTCCGAACCCGGTGGCTGCGGCACGCGCTGTACGAGGGTTTTCCCTGTTTGCTGGTCTGCTGTAGCCAACTAGTCGGCTCTTCGGTGATGTTATGTGCGCCTGGCCACTTGCCTCCACAGACTTCTAATTGTCCAACGTTTGTCAAACGCTTGTCAAAGGAAACCTTGGTAGCCCCCTTCCTTGAGGCCGCGCGAGTCAGGCTTGTAGTGTGCGGGAGATCTGGCACATTGTCAAAGCCGTGCATCTTACATAGGTGCTGGCTGCGTTGCAAGTCTGGGCGAAGGGGTTCACCAGGACCTGTGTGAATTCGGTAGGAGCAGCACGGACATGGCCACCAGAGACTTCTGTGTTCCTCGCCGACCCGCAGACGTGGGGCCTTATGAGCTGGATTCCGACGAAGTCTTTTCGGATTGCTGGCCTGCATGAGTCGCAAAATGGGGATACGGGAAATGGGGCTTGGTAGCCTTCTTGCTCGCTGTGTCTCGGTCACCGCCACGCGCGGTAGCCTCAGTGTACGCAGCTGTGTGGGTTTGCTTGCTTGCCGTGCTGACGAGAGCGTCGGCGGAAGCAAGTCGACCGATTGTCTTCGGGGGGGGCTTGGCTTCCTCCTTGCTGGGGCCTTGTTCCATCTCTAAGGTCTCGAGAACAGAAAAAGACCCCAAGTGCTCAGCAGCGCTGGTTTCAGCTCTAGACTCTAGACGGTTGAACACCATACTGAGTGAAAACGGAAGGCGTAGCAACACGGTACAAGGGGTTGGTTTGAACCGAAGGTCGTAGCGGCCACACCTTTCTCCTGAGCTTGCGATTGAGCGCCCCACGAAGGATGCGAACGCACCGAAAGAGTGCACTGCTAATTGGCGCACTGAGAGGACATCTTTCCCAGGTGCTGTCTTTGTACTTCCAGATTCTCACTGGAGACCCTGTCTTCTCCACGCTAGCCTGTATCAAGGCTCTTTCCGCATAGTTGGTTTGCTTTCCCGGGGCTTTCAGCCAACTTTTGAAGCTCTGTGCGTCCTTGAAACAGGCTTCAAACCTATCAGCGCGATACTCAACATAAAGTTTGGCTTGTGCCTTGTGCACGGTATTACCTCGGTGGCAGCTTTCTTGGCGTCGCTGCGGCCCTTGAAACCGTAAAAGTCTTTCCCGCAGGACTTGCTTTTCTGCTGGCTCTGCGTGTCTAGCTTAGCAGGGGCCTTGTGTGGACTGCGCTCACTCTCGGTTGGCGCCGCTTCCCCAGCAGCGGCGAGGGAGTACGTAGGGAGTGAGGCATCAAAAAAAAATTAAATAAGCACCGGAGTAGGCTCCTCGACGTCCATCTGTCGCGGCGCCTGAACATCAGCGGTTGGTTACGTTGTGTTGCCAGTTTGAAGCCTCTCCGGAAATACTGCTTTCTGGGAGGGGCCATCTTGGGCGAGGACCTGGAAAACAAAACGCCCTGCTCAAGGCTTCGGCACCCTGCGCCATGTCTGATGTACGAGGATCTCGATAGTCGCTGTCTTGCGTGTCACTACCGGATGACTGAGGCTGCTGCTGAGCATCCTTGGAAAATGATGCGTGACTGAAAGCTTCCGCAAGGACGTGAAGGATGTCATCCTCCGTTCCTCCTTGGTTCAAGTACTCTTTGAGTCCTCCCAGCAGCGCTTTGGCCAGCGAGCGGCCGCTGTCCGCCTGCTGAAGTTTCGGTGTCCTGCCCTAACCCGAAACCTTACGTCGGCGGGGCTCGGCCCGCGAGAACTCCTCCAAAAGGGCAAGCAATTGTTGCTTTGCTTTCCGTCTGTGTCGAGTGGCTTGGTTGGAGCCTCCGGCAAAGTCCTCAACACTAGCCGCAAGGTTAGTCCAGTACTTGCCGACAGGTCGTTGGTGGGCCTTGTGGGGGTACAGCGAGTGTCGAGGGGGGTCCTGTGGTCACTGTGTCGGCCGGTCGAGGCTAATGATACAAGGTTCTCGGTGGCACCGGCGACGTCTCGCGTCAAAAAGGTCTCGCGCCGCACGTTCTGGCAGCAAAGATTCGGACTGCTCGGATTTTGCCCCTTTCCACGGAGCCTCAAAGTCAAGGCAGGCTGCTTGGCCTTGGTTCTGTGACTCCTCGCCTTCCCGCACCTTCGTGTTCAGGCTTCCAGAACTTTGTGGCTCCAGTCCCACACCGTCCCGGCAAGCCCCAAAAACAAAAGCCACCCCAGCCGCAGGATGGGCTGGTCATGAAAGAGTTGGTGCAGGTATCCCCACGCAGCTAGTTGCAAAATGCTGTTTGACACTGCGCGGCATAGAAATGACCACCCTGTGAAAAACCACTGCCAAGCATCAAAGCTGGAAAGGGTCGCCTCAAGCTCCGAGTAGCACGCAGCGGGGCTGCGTCGTTGGCGCTGCCATGGCAGAGCACAAGGATGTGCACTGAATTGGGGGCCCGAATGGCAGAGCATTCGCTTGTGATGCATCCAGCTGGGGCGTCGTTTCGAGACCGAGGTTGTGGTGGTCGAATGCAGTCGACCCTCCCGCAGACAATGCTCGCGAACCGCCGCCGTTGCTGGCCGGGCAAGTTCGAGTTCGCTGGCGACTCAACAGGTCGTGGGAAGTCATTCCCAACAGTTCGCTGTTCCCCAGACAGTTATTCCGTGAAGAGGTGAGCGTCCAGTACATCAACCTCCTCGAGGTGGGCGCGGCGGGGCCGGCTCCTGGTCCACTGAGGCGTTTAACTGCCGAGCAATACTCTTTTGGAGCTTCTTCTGCAAGCCGACCAAACTCTCCAGATTGAACATCTCCAATAAAGGCTCCAGCTCTGTGAATTCCGTGTCCACCACCGGTCTGGAGTTGCGTCATCACCACCCCACGTGCCGGGCATGGCTTACTGTTCTCCGAAAAAAAGCGCAAAAACTACACTCAAACTGCGCACTCGGGCCTCTGCTGCATTCACAACGAACGCTTCGACCCCCGCATGCTGCAGATCTCGTTACGCAAGCTTGTCACTACGAACGCACGTGTTCTGCAGTGCTGCCCCACAGGTTTATCTCCAAATACTGAGACTTGCTGTCGTAATCTGAAACAATCTACCCTGCTAAGGCAAAGACGCCCCGGATAGCGCATCCACGTGGGGCATCCACCGTCGCACTGGGGTTCACCGTCCAATCGTAATAGCCTGCAACGACTTGAGAATCTTGAAAGTGTTTCAGGCTGCTTGCTTTGAAGCTACTCCGGCCTGCATGGTAGCGAGTGATGGCACGCAAATCTCCTTGGTCCAGGACCTGCCCAGCTACTTGGCTTCAGGCTTGGGGATAATGCATCAGAGGCTTTCGGGCCAGAACGAGTATGTACTAGACATGTACTATTTATGTATCAAAAGCTTATCGCATGACTGCATTAGGAGCCGTCTCATCCTCTTTAAACGCCAAGTAAATGTTTCAGTCTATTTGCCGCAAGTTGCAAGCCTCTCTGATCCTCTCTGTCAACTGTGGTGGCTGGGAGATGCTGTTACCGCAGACTGAGCAAATGACGGGAATAACAGACTCGTGCGTTGTTGGCGGCCCCCTGCGCACTTCCTGTTTCCACCTAAAGATTGCGTTGGTGACACTGTGTCACCGGCCCCCACTCGCGAACTACGCGGAAACCCCAGGGTCCATAGCTGCCATAGCTAGGTTTCTGCAGCCGTACCCAAGGGGTTGAAGCTATATTTTACATCGCGGCGGATATCGTGTCCTGAACCTCTACTGAGATTCTACTGAACATCTCCCGACCCCTTGGCATCCAGAACCACATGGCCTGGCTGTGCTCGTGCGGCACGTGCTCCAGGGCTTCTGGTCGATGCAACAAGCGCTCCTGAACATCTTCTCGCTCTGGAGGCCATCGAGCAGAGGGCCAAAGCACGGCTCCTCCACCCCCACCATGTCTGCTGCGAGGCCGCCGAGTACGCCCAGCGGCACCACCGGGGCACCTGAGCGCTCGGTGCTCCGAAGTACAAGTTGAAGAGGAGCAGTCGGAATTCATCTTGAGGGCATGGTGGGTTGTGGGAAGCTGGGAGAACATGACCGAAGTTGACTGCCGCCAGGAATCCGCGGAAGTCCATGACGGTTCGGCTCCTCAGGCAAACACTGCCACTTCGTCGAAAAAGAGAGCTCGCATGCAGGCGCATGCAGGCATGGGCCTCCTTCTCTTCGGCAGCTCCTGAAACAAGCAGGTGAGAATGCAGAAAGAGCATGGTGCGGCCCGCCCGCGTAAAATCCCAAAGTTTTCCGTTCCCCTGTTCCCCACCTCGTCCACCAGCTTGACAATTTCGCTGCTGGGAGGCCGCTCGCCCAGCACATCCTGATTTTTTGGATTGGCGACATCGGGGCATCTCGAGAGCTGCGGCTCAGAGCCTCATCTTCGGGGCTGAACCTGAGAGGAAAAGGGCGGCCATGGCTTCGCTGAGGCAAAGTTGCTGAGTCTCCGACCTATTGAGCTCTTGCAGGAGCAGCTCATCCATTTCCTGTGGCAGCTCTCTTGAGACATGAGCCCTCATGCCCTCATCCCTCATCATCGTGCTTTGAACTTTATGAGTGGAGCCCGCGTCGCAGCCTGCGTGCTGCTCTTGGTGAACGCGCTGCTGCCAGTGGCTTTGGACCCTGGCAGCCGTGCCAAACTTCTTAGAGACACGAAAGCAGACTTGCCCGACTCCCAAAGTCTCGGTAAGCTTGCACCGTGCGCCTTGAGAGCTGCGCATGGTGCTGTCGAGCGGTAGGGTACCTTGCTCTTGCCGGCTTGGGGCAGGTACTTCTTGCCAAACTCATGGAACCAGCCTCCCAGCTTCTCGTGATTCACACCACGTGCCCATACATCCATCGGAACCTGCAAGGCAGAGCTCATTTTTCTGTGAGGCTTCATTTTCCACTTTGAACCCCCTGGCACACGCTCCACGTGCGCGGCAAAACCGACAAGGACATCCCCATGGCCAGCGCTGGTGTCCATGTCTGGCCTGAGGTGAAAATGGGCCAGTCCCTCGCGCGAGTTGCGATGAATATGATGCGTCTGGCATAAACGGCAAAGCAAAGTCGGTGTGAGTCCGTGGCAGCCGAAGGAAAGCCACAGTGGAGCACGGCTGTGGGAAGAAGACCTGCACAGCTGATGCCTTGCACGTTCCGCTGCGAGAAGCGTACTGCACGGCCACCTCACGGAGAAGCTGGAGAGCCGAAGACCAGAACCGCACCGTGTCGTCCTCACCTGTAGAGGTGCACCAAGAAACTATTGAGGAAAGGCACCACATCCCGCTTACACGAGCACATGGTTCTTGTGTAAAGCAACTGGCACATGATGTGAGATGTGTGACTCCCGCACAGGACCAAGCTGAAGTCTAGAGAGTCTAGATGCCCTCAGCCGTGACCCTAAGCTCTGGACCGACAGAGACAAAGATCTCGATCGGTAGCAAATAGTCGACCTGCAAGCATCCGGTCCGCAGACTTACCAAGTTCAGGCGGCGATCTGCGCTTCCGGTATGCTTGGAATTGCAACACTTGCAAGCTGCAAAACTTACTCCTGAATCTTGCGGGCCTGAAGAACGGGCCCTCCGTGGGACGCCTGGGACGAAACCACCTGCAAATGACATGTGCGGTGCAGTTCGCTCAGCAGCTTCTCTGCTTCAGCTAATGCATCGAAGCACGTCCGAAAGCGTTGGAAGTGCCCCTCAAGTACTCACACGTCACACCACACACATGCAGAAAACTGAATTTGCACAGAAGTCGTGGGCAACGATGCACCTCGACGTCAGGCGACGTCCACGGAAGCTCAACCTGTCTGATGAGTTTCAAGACGAAGCTTTTCCTGTGGCAGTTGGTTGCAAGGCACGGGTGCCCATGCGGATGCGGGGGAACCCCCTTGCCCGAGTTGCCGACACCCTCTCTGTCCCTCACATGGCGCAAGCCATTGCCGTTCACGAAAAAAGTGGACTGGGCGCATGGTTTGGGCAACCAGCCGCTCGCCCCCCACCAAGAATGACTTCATGATTCATCACCCATCATAACCCCTTGCTTTCAAACTCTGTGGACCCGGGCCATCTCCAAGGATCCGCGGGAGTTGCCCAAGGTCACCCCCAGCAGCTGCGGAGAGCTCGGAGGTGGCACCTGAAAGAGTCAGGACTTTCGGGACGGAGGGCAGAAGGAGTTTTTTTGGCAACAGGAAGGACGAGTCCTCAACATTTACTGCTTTTCGGGTACCTCGCTCCTAACTGTAACTACCATTAACTACCACTGCCGCTATGTGTGCTACTCTCGGGTCTGGCACTACTAGATTGCTAAAGCTGGTTCGTGGCATGCTAGCCAACAACATACCACCGATGCCGCCACGGCTGCAGTGCTGACACTGACACTGATCTTCGACCCCGTCTTGTTGAGGAGAGTACAAGTAGACGTGCAGCGCACCTCCGCCTCGCTCTCGGCTTGGCCTTGGGCGTCGCCTTCTGGGCTTCGCTGGTCCTCTCGGGTTCCCAGCTCCGAGCCCCAAGGGCCCAAGTGTCAAAACCTCTTTCACCCGAGGCCTCCGTCGCTGGGTCCACGAGCACGATGTACGGAGTCAGACACGAAAATTCTGGAAGAACTGGGCGCACATGAAGCTGGCAAGAGACACTGCAACAGAACCACGTGCCGAAGCTGATCTTGGTCCGAAAGTATTTCTGCTCGACACAGGCGCCCGGCGCAAGCGAAACAGGATTCGGCTGTCTTCAGCCTGGTGCAGTTGCGAGATGAAGCAAAGGCGAACAAAACTGGCCGGTTCCGACCGCCTGACAAACTTTCAAGCCGTTCTTCGCGTCGATGGTCAGAATCAGGTCGGCCATGGATTTCACGAAGTCGATGGCATAGTCGTGTCGCCTCTGCAACAGGCGTCGTCCAACCAACCTCTCTCCACCGCGCTTTGTGTGGCGGGCCTCCAGCGGCTGTAGAGTTTCAGCTGCGGTCCACTGGGTGGAAAGGGCCGCTGCCCCGGCGTCTGAGGAAAGGAAAGGCACAAAGCCGATTCGCTTTGTCTAAGGGCCGATTAGGGCACCGGCCCTCGAGGCCTCCATGGCAGCCTCATGCTCCTGGCACGATCTTCTCTGCTTATCGCTGCTTTCCGGAAACTGCTTGCAGGGTGAATGGCACTTCCTCGCATCAGCAATCGCATGTTCTCTGATTGGAAAATTCAACCCGCAGTCCTTTTCGATCTCTGCGAGGCGTCCATCAGCCTCCTTTATTGCCCCCTTGAGGACTGACGCCCGCATGGTCTTGGCACGTCCGGGACCTAGACGGGCAAGAACAGCAGTCTACATAGGAATTTCCATGGAAACATCCAAGTACCTGTTGTCCCTGCTTCGTTGACATTTAGAGGCCATGTCTCGCGGATACTGTACAGCTTGTGTGAATGCTAAAAGTTTCATGCTAAACTACTAAACGCTCACAACTGGGAAAGACAAAATGGGAAAAGTCGTCTCAGGGCGCATGACATCCAAAGTCACCACTGTCACAACTGACTATACCGCCGCTGCTGGTTGCACCCATGGCTTCTATGGCCACACTCTACTAGATCTTCAGGTGTGTTCTTGAAGCTCTGGGTGGGGTGGCGGTTGCAGCAGTGGTGGTGTTAGGTTCTGTGGCATCAAGCGCCTGACTTCGCCGCATGTGCTCCTTGTTCGGCAGGTGTGGTGCAAGCCTGGTCGACGTTGGACTCGTAAGTGTGCAGGGACCGACGAGCCACATCCGGAGCCTACCCCACACGGGCAATTGCATCAGGAGCTCCGCAATCTTGAAGGCCTGCCAGAGTCATTGGGCATCGGCCAGGGACTGTGCAGACTGAAACCATTTGCTTCACCGCGCCTGTAAAGTGCCCATCTGTGTACCCACTAGCAGGTACCAGTCCCGCCTAAGCTGAGAAGCGGACAGGCAAGGGCCCTAAGGGCGTCTCGCTCCATGGACTTGAGCTCACGGGACGGACATGTTTTGTCTGTCCAGGCCCAGGCGCTTGAAACCGAAACCTCGTCTGTGGCCGGGCGCGCGGTGGCTTCATAAACAGGGCTCGCTCTAACAACGGCACTAGCTGCACCCCCGGCCCGGAGCTCCTGCTTTGGACGGCGTTGTCAGTAGAAATTCTAAATTCTCTCGGGCTGGCTTCCGCTGGTCCACCCATTACAAGCATTACGATGATCAACCTCACAGCTCTGGCAGCTTCTGGAGCAAACGTGCCGTCTGCTGCCACTCCTTGTCGTTAACCCTAATGCTTTGCATGAGCAGCCTTCCCGGCTTTCACCAGCATGCCAAACTGCGAAGGATCCACTTTGACGCCGGTTCTCAGATGCCAGACGGAACGGCTTGGCATTCCACGAAGAGAAGAAAAAATGGCCAGACTTTACAAACTCAAGTCCTGAAGTTCATGCACAACGCGGCACCTGCTAACCACCGCACAAGGCTCTGATGAGATAATTCTCCTGAAGCACGCTGCACTTGCAGGCAAGATGCATTGATGACACGAACAGCATGCCACCTTGTCAGGCGCTTCTTGTGGCTGAGGTCTACTGATAAGTCTACTGTAACACGACGCTCAATCACCAAAGGTCCTGCTTAGAAGAAAACCTGGAAGCACGGGTCGTCTCGTTAAATTGAAAACTGTTCCAGATGACTACATGTTGCAGGAACGCGAAAGCTACGAGGAACACGACGCAGCCCGAGACGGCTTCAGGGGTGTAAATGCCGGTGGCCTGTCTAGACTCTGGCTTTGATCATGTCCAAACCCTGTTTGCACCAGGCCACCCCAGAGGAAGGCGATCGTGAGGACAACCTCCGGCAAGCTCTCGTCTCACACTGACGCGGCGCTGCTGAGCACTGACTACCGACTACGACCAGATGGATCTTTCTCTTAGCAGTCTATGGACATCACATTCAGAGCCAAGGGACGTTCAGCAGCAAGACAACAAGTCCGACAGCCATCCAGCGCTTGCAGCTGAGCTTCTCCTGCTGGTTTGGTGTTGAATTTGCGAACTTGTGCGGAGCTTCTCTTCGCGCTTCCATTTTGGGTGTAGCATAAGAATAAGTACGACGTGCGTCGCATCCCGGCAAATCCGAATTTGTCAAGACCCAAATGCTTGTACATGTCAGACTGAAGACACAGTGCACAAAACAGTCCTGAAGCCAATTGACCATATTGTCGAACGGCTTCGAAATAGCCAGGGCGATGCTGATTCGAACTGGCCGAACTATGTTGCTTATCACCTTTGCTGTCAACACAGGTTCAACAGCATGTGGAATGGGAATGATGCAGCAAGGAAGACCGCGACTTGTCGTGTCATACTCCATTCTCTCGGCCACAGAGACCCGGCTGGCGGCCAAGGCGCATAGAGTCCGGCCCACGTAATGCCGAACTGTTTGAGGGCCACCTAAGCGCCAACGAAGCCATGAGCAAGCTCCTCTGCTGGAAGCCAGGGCCGTATGACTCCGGCTAAGTACGGATGCTCAAGGAAGTGGGCATAATTCGGTATGAGAAGCAACAGCTCAAGTGGCATACTCGCATGCGGCAACAACTTCCCGTGTCTACGCCGTTTCTGCAGCTGGGGTCGTGCACCGGGCTTGCCAGAGGGCTTGCGCCTGTCGCCACGATCGAGCGATAGGTGGCCAAGAGGATCCTCAAAGAAGCAGCGGAAGGACGAAACAGAACCAAGAGTTTGAAAGCTAGACATGACGAGTTGAGCATCGTCATGCAGCATCATCAACTGAGTGAGTGGAGATACACAATGGCCCTCAAATCCTAGAGTTCAGATGTTGCCACAGAGAGGCCTGCAAAGTGTTGCTTGCAAGAAAGAGGACGTACAAGAAAGCTGCAAACAAATTCAATACAAACCACTGAAAGAGAAGCCTGAAAAGCAGAGCTTTGCACAACAGAAGCTGGCTACCCATGCAAACTCTCTGCCTCCAAGCATTGAAGCAGCTGACTGCAATAACGCATCCACGAAACACGCGCAAACATGGACAAGAAGAGAAGGCTTTGCTGTTAAGCCAAAACTGTCGCGCGGCATGCATGAAAATGTCAAAATCACAAAGACTGCCTACTTTGTGCGGCCATCCTTCCATAAAAGAAGCTCTGGAAGAAGGTTATCCGTCGGCGCATGCACATTTCGGCCCAGGCGCAGAAGCAAAGCATTCACATTCGAGACGAAGCCATACGACAGCAGGCACCTTGTCATCAGCTCTCACGTGACTGCAGAGCTTGCATCTTGGCTTGGGATTTCGGACAAACAAAAGCTGAAGGTTTGCAAAGCCACATGAGCCCCATCTTGCGCAGAGACTTGGAGTCCATCTTGGCATTCCTGATTTCGAGGCGCAGGGCTGCAGACTGATGGGAGGCCGGAAGAGAGAAACGCTCAGACACCAGCGATCCAACAGCCAAGGGTCTTTTGCCACCAGCGCTTGAACCGCGCACCCAGTGATTTGTCTTCCTCCGAAGTGCTGCTGCTCGCCTCGCAAGCTTACTTGACAGCTCTGCAGGCTGACAGTAAATGATACAAGTTCACAATTGCCTCCCCCAAGACCGTGCGCATTATGAAGAAGAAAGCGGATGCTTAAGATACAGGCATGGGCCTTGAGATGAGTCTTGTCGACATTCCCGAGTATTCAAAGGCCTCGCTGTCGCTGCCCTCAGCTCGGCGGCGGCACCGTGCGGCGACGCTCGCCGCTGCACCGCCACAGAGGGCCGCTGCAGCACTAGGCTGGCGCCTGCCGGGTCGAGGTTCAGCCTTTCAGCTCGGATCTGCTCAGGTTCTCAAAGGGCAGGTGCCTGCCATGAGCGTCAGCTCCTTGCCATCTTTGTCGCCGTGCCGGAAGCACTGGCGGCGCCTGCGCCTGACTTTGCAACACTGAAGCTTCATGTCGAGCTCGCGCTAGGAAGGCCATGGTTCCTAAGAGAAGTCCTCAGGCTGTGACCCCAAGATGCTGCACAGAAAAGCCCGGGCATGCTAGAGCCATCTTGAGCCACTGATGCTTCAGAGCGAGACGAAAAAGCCTCGAGCAAAGGTCTTCGGAGCTGCGACTGTGGACTGAGTCACAAACCCTGTCGGCGCCGTCTGTTTGGGTATATGCCTCCACGACTCACCAGTGGAGCTTTCGCACACTGACCACGGCACTGTTAGGGATGCTTGCTCGCCCTTGCTGCGTTCGCCTTTTTGGCCTCTCATTGCAATCCTCCGGAACCCGAGTAAAGGCCCAGGTCCCTTGCCAAGCCTTCGGGGCGAGGCCGGAGACGAATCCTCCTCGAGAACCTGCTGGGCCACCTGCGAAACTGGCGAAGCTGCGACGCATGGTCCAAAGTGAGACAGTCATGGCACATGTTGAACTTCCATTACTGGGTAGCATGCATGCTTGCAGCCGTAGATAATGGAAGTATAGGACTTTACTGGAAGGACGGCAGACAGGGAGACACCTGCCTTGTTGTGCTGACTGCATGTGACGCAGCTTCGGCACAGAACGAGGATGAAGCAGTAGGGTACAAAGCTCACACCACCTGGAGCCTACTGCCGGGCGCACATGCCAGCACCTCAGGCTGATCTGGCCTTCACGGTGTGGAGCAGTGTGTCCCCCTTGGGAAGCCTGACATCCACAGAGCATTCTACTCTGGTTGCGAAGTGAGCAAGTCACCACAAGGTCAGCCGAGGAACGGCCCATGGTAGAGGGAAACGCATCGGAATGACTCCTTGGACAAGTCCTGCAAGTGACTGCAGTTGTTTGCTCTTCAGTCTTCATGGCCGGTGCGCCAGCTGCTGCTTGCTGCACCGCTTTGATTCAAGCATCCTTGTCCATCATCTGCGTCCGCACCTTGTCACATGGACTTCAATTAAACAGCCCAGAAGTGTGAGAAATCCAGGACTTCGATCCTGGCCCCATCTTGCCTCCACGATGCTGAAGCGCCGCAGCAGCAGTGGCGTGGCAGCCTGCGTCCGTGGAATCGGCTGCTCCTGGACGCACATCGTGATAGACGTCACTTGGGCTGCACGGCATTGGAGTCCGGATTTGTCACACACACACACACGCACCATGGTGTGGAACCACAGACGCTGGACGAGTGAGATTACGTCTCGGCGGCAGAACTACACACTAGCAGCACAGTCACAGCATAATTAACGAGGAAATAAGCTAGCTTCGACGAAGCATCACTCACAGCGCAAGGAGAAGCGGAAAGTGTTGAGAAGGTGACACACCACGACGATGCGGAATGCCAACGGCAGGCTCGAAAGGAGCAGCTAGCAACTTCTGGCTACTACTGTAACTGCGTTCGTCGGCTCAACAGAAGCAATTAGACCCTGGCCGAGGAGCCGTCAAGGAATCCTATCACTGGTCAAGATTCGCTTCAGCAGGTGGACTCCACTAAGACTTCACTAAGATCCACTAAGTCACTTCACCAAAGACGCGAGCACCATCGAAAAGGGAAACACGCCATTGAGGCCACTTGCACAGGTCGGCGCCTCAGCTTTGCTCTTCTCTAGGGGTGCCGAGGGCACGTAGAAGATGGCCACCTCTCCAAAAGCAGAGTCGAGCTTCAAGGATCCCGAAAAAGCAGCGACTGCCTCTTCCGAGCTGAGCCACAGGATAAGCAGCTGCCACTCCTTGGATTGGGCCAAGATGCGCCAAGTCAGTTCCGGTTTGGTTGTGCTCGAAAGATGCACAAGAAGCTCGAAAATAGTTGGCTCTTGGCAGCGTCGACTACAGTATCTACAGTACACCGCAATTTCCTGGCCGAGGCCAACACGGGACACAGGAACACCTCAAGCACTTGGACCTGCAGCCGAGACTTGTTTTGAACACTTTGAAAGCAACTACTAGGTCCTAGGTCCTACTAGGTGAACAAAACAGGCCAGGACAACGCACAACCCGAATTTCCATCATCTGAGAAGTTGTCGGCACTCTTCCACGACTGCGGGCGCCTTTGCATTGGGAGGAGGGGGCAGCGTGGAAAGCAGCGCACGTGATTTCGCCGAGAACACGCGGATGGCCATGTCCTGCCAGCATGTCATCAAGCGAGCATCTGAAGAGTCTGCAGCCTCTCCTTGACAACATGTCGTCGTGTCAGACTTGCAGCAGAACTCTGCGGATGGCCTCTGAAACGAGGACAGCTGCGCTGGAAAGAGGGGGACTGCCCTGCCATGCAGGCCGCATCGTGACTGCTAGGCCACGCTTCTCCCAAGATCAACAAACGAGGGCGATTTGAAGGAACTGCTGCTGATCTGACTTCCATGGGAAACTCCATGTACTTGGTAGTGCTCAAGTTGTGGTCCCTGGTGCTGCCGACACCATCTCTTACATGCGTTCTGCGAATACCCCATGATCAGCGAGCTTTGTATGAGCAGTGCTTACAGTAGCATCCGTCAGGCCTGCTTTGCTGGGACCTGCTTCGCAGGCTGTTCGCGCAACCTTGAAACTTCCAGGGTCTTGTCATGCTGAACTCGGCCCTACGGCAATCGAATGCTTGCGGTCTTTCGACTGTCCAGGACATGCCAAATCGCAGGAGCTGCAGAAGCTCTAAAAACTCTGCCGCGACTGCAGCTACGTGAATGCATCATTCAAGGCAGGCTGTGCTGCTGGCGCATCCTGAATCTGGAACGCAGGGGCTTGTGCGATTTGGACCTGGGCGGAGATTACGGGAACACCCGACACGAGCACGACCTTGAGAGTCAGATGCTGGAAGCCACAGTGTTTTGCGACACAAGACTAGGGTACAAGTACAACCCCATTGGGATTGGCGACAGAGCCCATGGCAGTCTTCGACAAAATTACATGCTCCAGTTCCACACGCCATCCCGACTTCAGAGGTACTCCACATGCCTTAATGATTTTGCCGTAAAGCAAGCAAGGTCTGCGGTCGTCTGCTGCGAGCACAAATGACGCCGTTGTCAGGCGCTTCTTTGATCGTGTGGCTGCTTCGTCTTTCCCGGAAATGGTGCCCGTATGTGCCGGCAGCCACTTTTGCAAGTGGCGCAGCCAGTCGACCACAAACAGGCATGCGTGCAGTGATTGGGTTCAGGGGTGGTCAGAACCAATAGGCGACTCGCATGTCGGTTCAGAGGTCAGCTTTAGGGGCTGCATTGCTTGGTCTTTGGCATCACCCTCAGTTCGAGGTCACAACAATGCAGGTGTGACGGGAAGAGCTGCAAGTCTCAGCATCCCCTCTGCTGCCAAACACGAACTCGGCTCCGAGCCACAGTGCCACAAGTTGTTGCAAATGGCGAAGCATAGTGTGCCTCGCCAGCACGAAGTCCGAAAGTAAGATGGACTGAAAGACTGCTGGTAAGCAGCGTCTACATGCACCCTAGGTTCTCAGTGATGGAAACTATGGTGCTTTCACCACAACTGTCGCCCATCTCACGTATCACGTATCCAATCATGGGGGGGCGACCAAGTCCTTGAACAGCTGGCATCAACATCGACGACATCACACCATCCAATGTCACAGCATGGCAGAACGGCCGGACAACCCTGAAAGCGCACGTGTAGATGAGCAACGTAATACTCAGACACGGCCACAGCAAGAGCGCAGGAGGGCTAAGCGCGAACGACAGTGGCTGCAGGAATTGCGTTGCATACCTTTCTGACCGAATATGCCCTCCAGCCAACCGAGAAACCGATTGCTGCGAGAGAAACTCCAAAAGCCGCGCATAGTCGGACCAGAAACACAACTCACTGTGGCAGTAGCAGACCATGCTGAGACGCTTTTCCTTTGATCTGCTCAGGTCCCAGAACGACGTCCGAGGAGTTCCTGGCTCAGTCCCGCAGTGGCCACGGCCTTCCTTAGACCCGAAGTGGGCGAACTGGAAACTTCGACGCATCTTAGTCACGTTTGCTGTCCAGTCGGAGGCGCCATCAGATGCGTCTCTGCACTCAGACACCTTTGCAAAGTTCCTTGCAGCCGGGTCTCTTGAACTCCGAACTGCTGGCGACTTGATCAAAGCCATCGAACGCGCGGTCCTCCACCTCTTCACAGGAGATGATCTGTGGATGCCTTTTAAGCTGATGGAGCTGGGGCCCGGCCTGCCATGGACCCTGCAAGTTGCACATTTTCCACGGCCAGGACCTCACGTTAACGAGCGCTTGGAAGACAACTGAGGTGCGCTGCATGCGGTTCTGGGCATGCAGCTGAATCTGGCTCGTGTATTTCGCGACGATCCTGAGATGTCAAGCTTGGCCTTTTCAATCCTTTCTGAAGTTGTATGGTCAGACATTGGCCCCTTCATACAACGCTACCAAGAGCTGTGTTCAATGACCACAAATATCAAAAAGCAGCGATGCATGAGGAGATCCAAACCAACCAGTCTTAGTCTTTCTGTAATCCTTTTAGCCAAGATTCTCGAATGGCCTGAGCTCGTTTACAACACTGTCACTGGCACACTACGGCTTGGCGGACTGACTGACTACGCATTGACAACTGAGTAAGGCCAGGGAAGCCAAGGCGCCCTTCGACGAGGATGCGGCCGGGTTTGCCAAAAAGACACCTGGCACACTCGGCCTACGAGCAAGACTCGGCAATTGGAGACACATTGCCTGCCGGAGAGGCCAGCGGTCTTGGCAACCTCAGACTGCGGAGGACTCGGCTGCGACCCGGCGGCTGCGGCCGACAGCGGCCTGGAGGATGAACTTCTGCTTCCATGGCGCGGTGATGTGGTGCATGTACCTCCCGGTTCTGCGAGGCCCTCAACCCGACTACCAGGTGCCCTGACTGCGACTGTCCGCTCTAAGTCTGTTGGCGCGCATGGATGCTCGACCCAGTTGTCCGCCATCGCCCGCAGTTGTGCGCAGCTCCTGCCAGCCTTCACCGCCAGAATCTTTCGAGCGGCTGAGCCGGGCACCAACAAAAAGCGATCTACGACTATGGCACGAAGCCCATAGGCGGCCTCGATTTGTCTGACCAGCGTTCCTCGCAGAGGCTTCGTCCTCCTCTTCCTCCTCTTCCTCCTCCACATCCTCAATGCAAGAAGAAAAGGCACTCGATGCGACCTGCTTGCTTCCTACCTGCAAGTACAAGAAGTACCCTGACTTTACCCATCGTCATACCACTCGGAAGTGGCGAGATGCAACAACAGTGGTGGACTGTAGTGAACTGAAAAGCCGAAAAGGGTTTGAGAGAGCTGATGTTTCAGACTGCGCATCACTGCTGCAAAAGCTCCATGTGGAAAGACGCACTTGGAAGGGGAACGTATAAGACGGAGATAGGCAGCAGAGGTTGGAGCGTGGATCCCATCTGTCCCTGAGAAAACGTTCCGGTTGCTACAGTCACGGACTAATCGCTGCCAAGCCTCCCACTTCACACGTGCATCGCGTCGCTGGCGCACGTCGCTGAGCTTGCGGCCCTCATCTACCTCGCGAGACATTTCGCTAGATCTCACCCCCAGCTCTCTGCCAGCACCTTGCGAAATTGTCTTGTGGCCTTCTCCTCCACACGGACGTTGCCAGGTAGCTGAGACTCCGCCTCCTGTGGCTCCACGGGCTCCTTGCTCGGCCAGTTAGCGGCCGACGGGGGATTTCCCAAACCATGAGTTGGATTCTGCGCTGCGTCCTCCACCTCGGGGTCTTCCGAAGCCCATGCAAGCTCTAGCGCTGTGCCCGCTGCACGCGCACGGTCCTCTCTGGCAGCACGGTCCATCTTCCTGCTGGGATGCCACGTCATGTGAGGATACGAGGAGTAGCAAAAGCAAGACTTGAGACAGTTGGGACAGAGGCTTCTATGTCAAAGAGGTGCAGGTAAGCACGATCAACTCACGATCGGCTTGAGAAAAGGGTGAATAGGCAGCTATCACGGCCGGATGCAGCTGCAAGTCTTTCTGAGTTTGGCCCTGCAGCCTCAGATTTTGTCGTCTCGAACCTGAACGTTCGAAATCTACCGACCCCGTGCCCGTCAAGGTGACCAGGGCTTTCCGGGCCTGAAGCGCTGCCTCCCCGTGTCCTCCACATGGGGGGATGTGGCACAGCAAGCCCAAATGCTCAGGGTCTGAAACAGCAGAGACACACTAACCAATCCATCACAAAAAAGACGACTTCAACAAGTCCTTGTCCAGGGGCAGCTGCGGGATTAGCTGCCGCGCACTCTGATGTGCCCGGGTGGCGCTGAGGCTTCGAATCGAGGGTTTCCTTAGCTTGCAAGGCAAGCTGGTGCGGAGGTCGCACATGCAGCTAATTGTTTCAGTCGCTGCCAGCATGTTCAAGCTGTGTTGCTACGCTCAGAGTAGCTTTCATGTAGGTCCTCAACCCAGTCAGATGTCCAAAGCAGCGTGATCTGCTTCATCAACCTTGATCGCATGCGAAGATCTTGGTCCAAGATTCCACTGCATTCCGCAGTCGAAAGCCTCAGTTCTTGGCCAGACGCTCTCATGACTTCTCATGGGAAGTTGCCAGAGCCCTGATACCGAGTCCTATGAAAAATCATCAACTTAATATCTCCCGAGCATGCTGAAGATTTGAGGCGGCGACCTGGAGAAGGTTCACCTCGCTTGGAGCTCAGATTGGGGCGGGCCCTAGAGGAAAGGGAATCGAATGCCAACATAGAAAGGAAGAGAGAGAGAGAGAGATAGAGATGATAGAGATCCCCCCCACTCCAAAAGAAAACGCACGCAGTCTACGGTTCGAAAGTGCCGAGTGACGAAAAGAAGGACATCCAAGTGGTTGTCCAAATCTCGTGGCCAGGGGCACTCCAGCTCCAAAGCATCGCAGAAGTCATGGACACGGGTCCTTCGTGGCAGCACTACGGCATCCTACACCCCTCGGCCCGGTATGTGCTGCCATGCTGCAGCACATCTCCCACGCAGATGGGCAGGTCCCCTCCAGGAACGCCTTCTTTCACCGCTTTGAAGGGGCGCCGGTGCCTGGGCTTTCAGAGCCGCTCCGCACTGTTTGCTGCTTGCACATCCACTGCAGGCAGGAGATGCATTGCGTGAAGCTCTTCGTGGACGTTGGCGCGCAGAGCGTCGATCTGGCTCTGGTCGGCCTCTGAGCTCAGGCCGCGACGCGACAGGACGGGAGGCTGATGAGAGCTGAGACAGCTCAGGGATGCTTCGCGGAGAGCTGCTGTGGGCCTGGCCTTGGTGGAGAACTCGAAGAACCAGACCAGTGCTCGCAGCTCGTTTCGGCGCAAGCCTTGCCGGCTTCCTTGTCTGCGCCATCTTTCTGCACTCAAGCACACGAAAACAGAAAAATGTGCTTACCTTTCTTGCGTTCCAGCAGCTTGCCAGCAGCTCTGCAAGGCACTGGAGCGCCAGGCGGACGATATCTGAACAGTCTGTATGAGGCTGTGACGGCACACTCAAGTCAAGTGGCCATGAACCGCAATTCAGCATGCCACGCATCGCACCTGAAGGTCTTGTGCCAGGCGGCTCCTGGCAAGGCAACTAGGTGGACGCTTCTTGTGGGAGTCAGCAGGGGTCCCAAGAAAGCTAGAACTCACCAGCTTGTTCTAGTCGCTAGTCACTGAAGTCCTGCCCCTCAAGGACAGTCGGCTGGCGCAGTGCCCCCTTGGCCCAGCGTTGGAGCCACTCTGCCTGCCATCGGCACAATCAGTGTTCTGCTCATGCACAATCCGGACTTTCCGAAGAAAGTCTGCTTACCAGTGCGCATTTAAGCCCGTAAGTTGTGGTGTCTGTTAAGCCCAGATGCGTCGCCCCTGGCAGCCCAGCGCACCGCCTTCGGAGGACTTCCAGAATTCTACAACACCTCCACCCCTCGGCAGTCCGACTCTGCGCAACGTGTGAAATCTGTCCGAATCGCCTTCGCAATGCAACTGCTCCCCTTGCCTCCATGAGGAGAGCTCCTCTCCATTCCTACCAGCCGTACTGGATGCAAAATACATTTGCATCAAGAACTCAGAGTACACACCTCCGACAACTGCAGGTCATCCAGGGTCTCAAGCGTCTCTGCATCAGGCAGGCTGGCGTCCCATCGAGACCACACATCCTGGACGCAAGAACCGTGCGCAGCAGGTGGTTCATACAAGCAGGTGTTCTCAGATGCACGTCCGGCACCTGCCTCCGGCGTCTTCTGTGTGTCCTGCAAATCCCGAGCAGAAGTCACTGGTGAGCCAACGGACAGTCTGGTCCGAGGGTCCCAACTCTCCCGTCATGAGCTTGCCATGCCGAAGTTCACGTGAAGGTTCTGTCATCATCACCACCACCACGGCCAGAAAACAAGACCGCCGCCGGTGTGCAGAAGAAGCTTTGTGGATGACTAGTAACCGCAGCTATTGACCCGCCTACTTGTGCCTCAAATCCTTAAATACACAGAGCAAGAAGGGCAAGGCGCAAAACGCGATGCTGTTAGACTGCGACTCTCAACGCCACCTCCAAACGATTGCGGCTGTCAGAACTCAAGCAGAAGCCATCACACTTTCGTTGTACCTTCGCTGCTTTCACTTTCCTTGCCGAAATTCCAGAAAGCCCCCCCTCCTCGATGCCGAAGAAGCTCTCCTGCTGGTGGCCAGTCTAGCTGCAACACGCGCTCAGCGACGAGTCAGCACAGAGCCCTCCTGCACGGCAGCGCGCCGCGGCCCAGCCCGATGCTTCGGCTCCTCGCAGACAGCTCATGCGACAGGCGAGCGTGGCTGTCCTGGTCGTGAGCCCCTCTCTGATCCTCGCTGCGACGCGCAGCCAGAAACGCCGATTCCTGTCAGTCTCTCCACTCAGCCTCTTCAAGTCTTGATCCTGACAAGCTCCAGCCTGGCCTGCGGCAGAAGAAGACAGAGAAAGAGGGCGGCCGCCGCCAGGATCGCAGCAGCCATGCCACCATGGTGGGAGTTGCGTAGGTGGCAGGCTTCAAGGTTGGATGTTGCGAGTGGATGTGGGTTTCGTCGGCAGGGCTGGAATACTCAGCAGTTGAATCCTTTCACCAGGATGTTGCTAGCCCGCCCGGCACGCTTCAGCTTCTGAACTATGGTCCGGGCCTGCAGGCTCAGCGCCTCTATCTTCTATCTTCATGGGTTTTCGTGTCTGGCTCTACAATTCTGCGGCTGAGACTCGCGAAGATCTCTCTACGCTCCAAGCCCTCTTATCTGGCCCGAAGTGACCTAGACCTGGGCTACTGCACAGGCCTAGAGCTCCGTACCCCGAAGGCCCGGACGTTGAAGCGCATCATCGCAACACTGGCCCCTGCAGCACCGTCCTTGCCACATGCGAAGCGGTCACCGAGACGAAGAGTCGCAGAAGAGGCCAAAGACGCTGTGCACACACCGCTTTGCTTAACAGAAAATGCGACACTCCACAGGTGCGCAAGCTTGGGACGGAACGCCGTTGCTGCCGCCACCAATCGTGTAGCTGAGGGCCTTGGGGGCACGGCACAGATCACACTTCGAACCGAATACCTTGCGTCGATGCCCCTAAGTCTTCACAATCTGAACAAGCATCATGGCAACCACGGCGTAATGGGAGTCAGGAACAAACCGGAAAATGGTTGGGGCCACGACGAAGTGGTGCAGCGAGATTGGAAAAATATGTGCCTCGTCCGTTCGAACATATTACAGAGCTAGGATACTTTCGGATGCCCACTGTTGCCCCCCATCTCCCTTCAAGCCGTGAACTCCCTGAGCCGTAACAGAAGAGCTGCAATAGCTCTACAAGGCCTTCGAATCTGCCAGGCCGAAGTACAGGGTGTACACGCACACGAAATTCTCCATGCTCCACACCTCTCACACGATCTCACATGGACATGTCAATGCTGGTCGGCCAGAATCAGGCACACATCGAACTTGATTCTATGATGCTTCGACCAGCCTGCAATCTCAAGTCCAGCGCACAGGAGACAGCGAAGCCTTGCTCCCAGCAGGCAGAATCGGTGCAGATGCTGTGTAGGTGCTGCATCATCGATCACGACGAGTGACTTGACGATTTCGCCTACTGCTGCGCAAGGCACGCTGCTGTACGTCATGCTCGTCCCGGTCGTAAAAGCAGACCATCTCGACCTGCAGTATGGTTCCATCTTTGGAGCGCATCAAACTCGCTGGGCCGGGTGGATGCTATGTTCGCGAGCGCATTCCTCAAACTCTGCAAAGGCTCAGGAGTCTTCTCCCGGAGACTGTTGCAGGCAAAACCTGTCTTAAACTCTGTCTCGCCACACTCTGGTCTGCCCCTAATGTGGAAAAATGTTGAAAAATCTTTCTCTCGAGTTGCCCGGTACTTCAGCAGTCAGGCTGCTGCGCCGATTTTCTCTGAGGCTGCAGCCGACCGTGTGTGCCCATTGAAAGTGTGCTCGAGCCTCCAACACTACAATGAGCTCTCAATCAGCCGCTGTAGGAATGTGGAGACAATGGGGCCTGGCCTGGTGAAAAGGCCGTCACCGCTTGGATCGCCGAGTTGCGACTCGAAGGCCTTTCCCAATGACACCCTCACACCGCTGAAGCCTTTCCGCAGCCCGCACTTTCTGTCTCCTGCCTGAATGTTCCAAAGTTGCACTGCGCCACCGCTTGTGCCTTAACGTGCTGAGGCGACATCTTGGACTGCTGCGGAGTTTCGGAAGTCCCTCGAGGGTTGGACACTGAGATTCTACGACCTTCTCACGCAGTAGTCGCTAGGAGTTGGAAAGAGGTGCATAGCCTTGGGGCTCTGGCCTGTCAGTAGCTGCGCCTTGCAGTTAAGAAACTGAGGACAACGGCAACTCTTACACTGCCGTGCCATCACTGCCATCGTTCGCTTCCTTTGCTACCTGTAGGAGTCATAATGCGACTAGCATCTCCAGGCCTTCCATCGGATGGCCTGGCTTGAGGAGACCGTGCCCAGGTAGGCACTGCAGACCTCCGAATCCGAAAGCTTCCAGTCTCCGGTTCGCATCTCGCGTTCTGGTGATCTGAAGCAGGTGCCAAACGACACGCGACTAGGCTACCATAGGCAGGCCCCAAGCTTCTCGAAAGCATTAAGCTCCTGGCTAAAGGCTGATTGCAGGAGGCCATAAGGTTCAACTGGCGCAGCATGCAAGAGCCCGCCAACTGCTCAGCGACTACATCGGAAACACCGGCCCTTCACAGTTTCTTATCAACCGCATCTGTGATGCCGCCTCAGGAACGCTCAAAGAATAGGCAACAGATCTGCCAATCTGACACACATTGCACTTCAACGGCGCCAGCCACACCACTTTTCACATGCAACCTATCTCCAACTCAGCAGAAGAGGTGTGTTGCTGCCTCATGGTCTAGTACCAGCACCGTCTTCAACTCTGCGATGACCACCCTGTCTCGTGCATGCTTCTCTTCTGAACTCACCCAAGGCGTTGTGGAGGATGCAAAAGAATATCAGGAATCAGCTTATGGCAGTGTCACAATGCATGCTCTTGTCTGGCCACGGCCTTTGCTCAGCAGCCACAACGATGCGATGGACGGGCTCAGTGGTAACCTGCATTTGCACGGCGGCGTGAAGGTGTCTCGTGAGCATGCAATTACGCCCCGTTTCGTAGATTTCCCATGTAAGCCTGCTTGATCAAGTTCAGCTGCAAGTGATACCTCTAGCAGCAGTGGGACGGCATGATGCAGCAGTTCGCTGTTGACTCACTTGAGACTCCACAATAGTCAGAGGTTACAGTAAACACCGAGATAAACCGAGTGATTGAGCTGCAACTACTTCCAGTAGTAATGATGTGGCCTGCAGTGGTGCATACACCGGAACCACCGACTGACTCCCACCCTGTTTTGCACAGGGCATCACCAGGGACAAAACTGCTGCTGTTGAGAGCAGTGGCCGCAGCCAGTCAACAAAGACTGTAGGTTATTCAGCACCTTCAAACGTCAGCTTGCATGGGTATCACAGAAATTATGCTCGCCATATGTCTGAAATACGGAGCCGGGGCACTCCAAACCCCTCAAGCGTGAGGTGTTGATGCGACGCTCTCGAGACTTTGTGAGCTGCCACCTTGGTACGCAGCAAGTGCAGATACTGGTACAGAGCTGCAGGCACCTGATCTCTATTCAGAGCCCTTACAGCGCGTTAAGCCAACCAAACGGACAGACACGTCAGGCGACAAGCAGTCTAAAGCTCAAAAACAGACAAGTCAACTGCGAGCCCAACGGAGCCTTCAACACTGCAACACACGTACAAACCTTGCAGCCACACTCCTCCCAGGTGCACTGGCCGACATGGCTCGACACGCCCGGTAAAAATTATCTTGGCACTGGGCCAAGCCTGACCAACACGTGCACGACTGCTCGCAAATTCGAGTGCCCAGCAACTCGCAGCCACTCTCACTGCCCGCGAGGATCTGAGCTTTGTGGGCTTCATAGGCTTTGGAGGGCGAGTGGCTAGTCCAAGCTCACCTGCTGCCTACCCGCATGGCTTACATCCTTGGCTCCCAGGCAAAGCTCCCAGCTGCCGGCAGGTAGGCCAGGGTCGTGACCTTCAACAAAAACTTCCAGAGATTCGCACAAGTGATGCCAAAAACTGGCGAAGCTTGCAACTGTACGTTCCGGCGCAATACACACGCCTCAGAATTTCTTGGTCTGGGAATTTGAGGGCTCCTTTTCTGAGTGGCCCATGGCCGGCCTTTCCGCTCTTTCCCTTCGCCTTTCGCTCTCCGCGCCCGTCGCCTCGCAGCTCCGCCCGCTCCTGCGCTGCGCTTCGACGGGCTTAGGGCCTTTAGGGCTTATATATATATATATATATAAGATATATATATATATATATAAGATATATATATATATAAGATATATATATATATATACATGTATAAGGTATATACATATACATATATAGGTTTAGGGTTTAGGGTTTAGGGTTTAGGCATGTGATGAAAAACTTGATGTAGAGCTTGTACACATCACCTGCTTTGGGTTCTTACACGGTTCGTTCAAGGCGTCTTCCTCGAAAAAAAGGGGAGCGCTTGCTGCCGTGGGGAGGGCTGCAATGCCAATGTCAGGATCTCTCGAAGGCAGACAGAGCGTCCTACTCTCCTTTACAGGGTTTAGGGTTTAGGGTTCCCCATGTGAGCAATGCAAAGCAGCCCTAATTTTGGCCTTTCCCATAGAGGCACGCCTGCTCGAGTGGGAAGCACTCCACCAGGTCGAGGCTCAGAGAGTAGCACTGGCAAGGGACGTTGAGGAAATGGAAAGTCGACCGAGTTACACCGAGTGGGCAAAAAGGATCTTGGTGGGCGCTTGCAAAAAATGCTCCATTACTGCAGGCTCCTATTTCTTTTCACCGCTCTGGCCCGCTTGCAAGGTTCCGTCGTTTGGATGTGCCCCGATCGCACGGATGCTTTCAAGAGCACCTGGTCGAAGAGCCCGGTCCCTCCCACAACCTCGCTCCACATTCAGCTCGACGGGCATGTGCAGGAGCAACAGCGTAACCCCAGGTCACGGAACAGCGCAGGAGCAATCAGAGGGCATGAGGAGCATTTGCAGCCCTTTGCCAGAAGCCACGGCCTCAGCAGCTCAAGAGCACATCACAGCGGAGATCCGGCCCAAGAGGACGTGCTCGACGCGGAACAGCTGGAAAGTGTCCGAAAACAGCAGCTCGGCAGAAAGACATCGCAGCAGGCGTCAATATGTAGGCCCACCTTGGCCCAAGTTGCCAGGTTCCTTGTCTTCGTGTCTGGCTGAATCGAGCTAGTTCACCTGGATAGATCCGCATCGCTGTAAGACGGTATTTCGGTTCACAGTCGAGAGGGACACGTCCTCGCACTGGAACAGGCCCGGCATCATGGGATATCATGGAAGATGCAAATCTTGGAGACTAGGAGAGAGCGCAGACATTCATACATGCTCCGAGGCATTCAAGACTCGGTTTGCCTTCATGCGTGGTGCACATGCCCAGCCCCGTGAAAACAACACATGCCCTCAATGGGGTCCTGTAAGTCCGGGATGTCACCAGCTGTTGCGAAAAGCTCGTCTGTAAGGGGAGTGCTGGCATCTCGGTACATGTTCACCTTCGCTTGGAAAACAGAGAACAGCATCGAAACACACGCGCGAACTCCGGGTTAATGTCAACTTAACTTCCCCTCTTCAGCACTGAAACACTCGACCTGGCTTCTTCGGAAAAATGGGAGGTTCACTTAGGCCACCCCTCGACTCTCGACCAGTCGCGGAGTCCAGCGGGCAAGCCGAAAGCATGTTCAAGGCATTGTAGGTCAGGAACACGAAGATGGCCTCATGCTTCTTTGGGTTTTGGCTGGAATCTGGAGCCTGCGCTCGAGGGCTAGGCCGGCTGGCGGCTGATTCTCGGGTGCCTCGAGCTAGCTACCGACTCGCAAAGTTCTTTAAGCCTGTGCATGCCGTGGGGTCGTCCGACGATATGGCCAAAACATCCTGAGACTGTCTTACGACAATCAGACCCCAAAAGGGACGCCCAGCACTACAGAATCAGGAGCCTTGCCACCCTTCAAAGCGACATCCCATGTGCGATACCTCCTTGCCAAGAAGCCAATGGGATCACGTAAACGGGAAGTGCCACTCCCCACCACCGATCTGGATAGTAGGAGATGCCCCAACTTTGTAACCTCGTTTTAGTGACCGGATCGGAGGGCTCGAGTGTTCCGGATGTTCACAGGCTGTCTGTTCCGTCGGCTCTTTTCCCGCTGTGCGGCAAAGCAAAATATGCCTAGTACACCCTCTGCAGCAAGGGTGTCTTGGCCTCAGGGTCCGCACTTGTGCCGCCAGGGCACCGCTCATCGGGAGTGAACACCCAGAGCAGCCAGGCCTGGTAAGGACTCAGTAATCGTCGCTATGCTAAACAAAGGAAGCTTGATAGCTGGATTTCGGAGGCCCGAGACGTACCTACGGCTCCGTGTGCGGCCCTATGGATGCCCATTATAATGGTCGAGCTTCAACAAAGGCCATGTGCGAAGCGAGGTAGCTCGCGAAGCTGCGAGCCTTGCTGAGGAAGCAAAGAAGCTTCTGAGATTCTGTGAAGACTAGGCTATGCACACTTAGAAGTCGTTGCTGCCGTGGTGCCTCGGTTGCAAGCCGATCTGCAGCCATGCGATCCGTAAGCGGAGAGAAGAGCCCGACTGCCCGAGGCAGGAACGACTGGTGTTCATGATCTGCTGATGCTTAGAACCCTCGACGCTTACTGAAGGGCCCTTCGGGTATGCGGAAGGCTGCAAGGAACTCTCAAAAACTGACGGAGGTGGTTGTGCATTTAGCTGCATTATCTAGTGAATCTACTGCAGCAGCGAAGCAAACGGCTGCGGCCAGCGTTGGGGCACACTCATGTCATTGTGAAGCTCCAATAAGAGCAAGAATCTCCAACCAATGGGGGCTTCCCGGCATCCTGACAAGCCAGCAGCGTACCTTGAGCGTCATGTCCACCTGGTTGTTCAAAGCAGGCACCCCCGAGCAAAACTTCAAACTGCTGACCGAAGCTCGACTGCCAAGCAGTCTCTTGCACTATCCGCGACACATCCGCGCATTCCATCCCGAATGATGCCTACCAGAACCTTGGGCTGATGAGTCGGGGCAAGACTGCTCTACAGATGTTTCACAACGGAGCTTTGTTAAGTGCCGCATGAGCCTGCTGCAAGCTGCTAATCACTGCTACTCTCTTAACATTGCCTGATCCGATCTTTGAAGATCAGAATGCACTAAAATCGAAGCATGACTTCGTCCCCAACACCATCCCTGCGCTTCAGCCTCACCCGTGACTATCGTCGAAAAGTTCGGGCAGAAGGTAAGCGCGGAGACCATGGACCTGAGAAGACAAGACTTCCAGTGACGCTAGCTCCTCGGCCTCCTGTCGACTCGCTTCCTGCGCGGCGCTCTCCCCCCCCCGAGTACTGCCAGACCATTTTTCCCGAGAACTGCAGCGGCAGGAGAGCCGTCTACCGGGTCTACCGATTCTGCCAAGGCTACAGCAGCAACCACAGTGGATCTCACTGCGAAGTATAACTTCTAGCGCGATTGGACATGCCGCAGCCGCCCAGGCAGCCACGGCGAAAGCCAAGGCCCTCCTGCATCGCCCAAGTCACAACTTCCAACCACTTCCATCTTTGACCTCCTCGGGACCAACAGTCCTCAGCGTCGAAGCTCAGCCTCACCTAATCTGCGAACCACGAACGGCGCTATCTTCAGAGACTGTGTCACCGCTTCTCCGGCCAGTGTGTATCACGGAATATATGGTTTCGAGATCTCGGATGAATGTCGGAGATTGTGATCGCACCTTCCAAGCCTGGTTTCCAGAGTTGCGAGGGCGTCACCCAGAGAGCAAGGGAGCACTCCATTGTACTGTGCCTTGCTGATAGGGAACGGCTGCTTCGCTGCCCTCACGATACGCCCGCCTGCTGCCTTCTTGAAGACTTCCGAGCTTCCCATGCCCAGCACAAGCGCACACACCGAGGTCTCTCGGAAAACGCAAGAGCAACAGCTTTGGCACCTTGAGCCCAAAAGCCCGCAGCTGCCACAGGCCATGGACGGCCATAGAGTCAAAACACACACACAGTCACATGGCTCTCGCATGCACGGGACAGAGCGAAGCCACGTCTTTGCCTGGGCGCGCACCAGCTCGCTCTCACAAAACCGCGCTGTTTCATATGACTCTACAGGAGCCCACACCACCGTCAGGTTCTGCATTTTGCATCCCAGAAACACCAAACCCTCTTAGTGCATCCGCATACGGCAGAGCCACACCTGCACCTAATACATCTTTGCGTACTTGGCCACTGTGAACAGTCTTAGAGCACCTATATTCGCCGGTGGGAGTGAGGGAATCATCACTGCGCGTAACGCACGACGTCAGAATAACGGCTTGATCTCCGAGTTGAACTTACCTCAGTTGCAATGCCGAGCAAACTTTCGATTGAAGCATGCCCCTCCAACCGGACATCATTGGCAACCTGCCTGATAGCAATAGGCAATACCTTCAAAAGCGGTGTTGGTACCTTCTCCCGGGTGCTGCTTTGCAGCTGTCCTGCCCCGAAAAACTGTGCCAGTAGTCCTGATTGAGACAAGATTCTCTCTTCGTAGGAAGTCATCGAAATCTGCCTGCCGAGAGGTGCAAGGAGTGGTGACAGGACACCTAGAGGCCGTGTCTCATCCCTCTCTCTATTCGCGATCACACTGGGTAAACTAGACATGACTTCATCCGTGGAAAGAGGTGGAATGGGCAAGCTTGGGATGACGTGTTGTGCATTCCACTGGTGCAGGTAGTACAGTAGCGCTGCCAAACCCACAAGGACCAAGAGACGGAGAGGGACAAGGGGAGGGAGAGAGAGAGAGAGCCGTATGTCGCAGAGGAAAATTATCTTCGCCGATCGCACCGTAGCCGCAGGCTTCAAACAAGGTTTTAAGCGAGGGCCCGCCTGCCGTCGTATTTTCGGTGGCCCATGGCCCTCATGATCTTCGTGGCATCATCGGTCGTGGAGCACTGCAGGTAGACGTCGCCTCGACCAGAGGCACAGTGTCGCTGTCAGGATGAGAGTGCAGCTGCTTCTGCCATAGATCAGGCGTGGCAGAGAAAATGAGGCCTGTTAGAATAAACTCGAATCCAAACTGTTGGCAAATGTGGCGCACAAGCTGCAAGTCACGACAATGGACTGTCTGAGAGATGCTGTGTCCTTTTCACACTCACCACGGAAGTGTGACTTGGTGTACGAGTGCCGGATCCCTGAATCCAGAGTGTTCAAGGCCTGGCTTCAGAGTGGCATTGCCACTGGCATGTGCTGGCTTCACAATAGCCACCTGAGCGTCAAGTCACCGGTCACCGGGTATCCAACAAGAGCCGTAAAAAAAGTGCCAAGAGCCCCAATGAGCACATACTATAATATGCAAGTCCGAGGATTGGGGGCCCTTTTCCAGTGCAGACCAAGAGCCATAACCAGCTTACCATGGGCCCCGCAGCCTTCCTGCATGTCCTCCTTGACGTCGTTGTAGTCGTCCTCACAAGGCCATGGCGTGGCAGGACATGGCAAGAGCCTCTCCCATGCACGTGACTTTGCCTACCTCGGTCGTCTTCTCGTCCACCTTGAGGATCTCGTCGATCCGGATGATGGGGCTCGTGGCACTCACCTGTCTGCGCAGGCTCTAGAATGCGCTAGACGCGAGACCTTAGTTGGCAGACGACGCTGCCGGCCTGTGCGCTGGGCAGCGCCAGCATGCTGGCCTGCTGGCCTCGAAATGGACCGAGCTGAGCTGACACTCGGCTGAAGGGTTGCAAGGCGTTCGCCGTTCGCCCCATGCCCCCAGGCCTGGAACTTGCATGCCCACCGGAACACCACCGATCATGCCCAGTGGACTGACCTCAGGATGCAAGACGGTCTTACGCCTAAGCGAATCTCTGGCCTGACTTGCTTAGTACTCCACGGCGTCGTTGGGTCGCTTGATGGAGACCGGCACTCCTGGCATTGCACAGAAAGGCGTATGCCATTCTCTACAACTCTAGCTCTGCTCAATGATCCTAGCCTAGGACCAGCATGCCGTCCAGCTGGAGTGCACGCTCTGTCTCCTGCACAAGGAAGACCACAAAGCTCTTACGCAGCAAAACAGAGCTCTCCAACATGAGGATTCGGCCCAGACTATCATACGCACAAGGCTTTGAGACTGGTTCCGCCTCTTGTGACGCAACCTCGCAAAAGCCGTAGTTCGCGCCCTTGTCTCGGGCGAACCAGACGTGCAGCACCTAAGCCGGCAAAAGGCCATTGGCTGGCATCCGCTCTGGGAGCAAAATTTTATCCGTGACATGGACATACCTTGAAGATCCTTGAAGCCTTAAACCTAAGCGGGCTGCAAGAACTGAGCCAAGGACGGGATTCTGATTTGGATCGTTGCACATGCCGCGGTCGCGCATCGTCTCGTACAGCTGCTTCGAGAAGGAGTCCTGGGAGTTTATGCAAGCCTGGAGCTTTTGGCTTTGCTTGCGAGCTCCGCACCTCTGTGACACCCAGGTGGTACGGAAGATTGCCTCAGCCAACAAGCTCCAGTTGGCAGCTAGCAGCTGAAACGAATTGATTTTAGACGGCTGGACGCATGCTTCTGCGTTTCTCAGTTTCCACGCCTCGCTCCGTAACTTCTGAGGTCAGCACCCAGATACAAACGACGATTCTTGCGGGATGCATTGACGTCGTTCGCGATGCCTCAAAAGGCGAGCTGCAGATTCCACTACACAGCCGAGCAGGCGTTGTCTTGACTGGGCACAAGCAGCAGCATGTGCAATCACTTCAGCAGCAGCAGCAGCTTACTAAGATGTATATGCATATATGAAGACCAGTCCCTCTTCGAGTCCAAGCCGGTCAAGTCGAAGCCCGAAAATTCTGCAGACGCAGCCTGTATCTGCTCGGGGCACCCACTGGAAGCCATCCCAGAACATACCTGAGCTGCTCATGGGAAAGTCAGCACCACTTGCTCGAAGAAAAACGCAAGCACCTCTGTGGCAGTTACAAGAACAGCTGGTTGCAGTTATCTACCCGATGTGCAGTTAGTTGTCACCTTGAAACCCTTGTTGGCTTCTGTGCGCGACTGAGGCAGGACTTGGCGAGACCAGTTTTCTCCAAGCGTCTCTGTCCTCCCACACCACCTTCACCTGCCTGTCGTTCAGAGATGAGGCGCAAGAGAGCAGCAGTCAAGGCTTTGTCATGCTAACCTGATCATGTGACCAGGAAAAGGTCACAGGCCTGGCACAGCACCAACCAAAGTAGCCCGACAGTTCAAGAAAACTCTCACAAGACACCCATGGATAGCAGATAAAGACGATTCGAGCCTTTCTGTTCTTGTTCACGACTTGCTGCTGCTGCTTTCGTCGACGCTTTTCACGCCTTAGCATAATCGTGAAATGACTATGGCTTGAGGTTCTGGGAATGCTCCTGCTCACTGCCATCAGAGCCCTCACGTTTTCATGGGCGCGCATCTCAGATCTTCCCGGTAGTGGCTCAGGGCAGGAGAAACGGGAACTCTTTCAGTCTTTAGAGACTCTGGAGGCCACCTCGTGATTCATCATGCTTGCACGCATTAGCGTTCCAAGCATGAAGCGGAGAAGCAGGTGTGTGTGTGTGTGTGTCGAAGCTGTGTGAACCACAGGTCACGAGATGTTGCCTCTCCGTCTGTTTTGAGCCGCCGAGCTTAGCACGCTGCATCCCCGGTCTTGCCATTCATGCAACACTTTTTCTTTTGTCATCTGCAGACCGGGGTTGGAGCTCCACTTCGTCTGGCGAAAGACTGTTGCAGTCTTCGCACGGCAAGTTTATCAGATGGCCACAGACTGCACAACAGGGATCTGCATTGAGCGAAATGAAATATGAAATCCTTCACGAAGCGGAACGTGCTGACAATCATTGCAGCCTACCCTGTTCGGACCATCAGCATCTAGCCAATTTAGCCATGCGCACTCAGAACACCTTTGCCTGCTGTTGACGACTTGCGAACCTCTGCAGTGGGACAGGGCGAGACGCAAGCCATGCAGCTAGCACCTGCGACAAGCGCAAAGTCCTGTTCCCCAAGCTTACGGACCGTGGCAAACAGGAACAGCATTGAAAAGAGCGCTGAAAGTCGCGGTCCGAGTTGCCGCGCGTCGCTCGCGCAAAGGCTCGGCAGCCGCGGACGGCTTGCTGCTCGGGGCGGCTGCCTCAGATCGACTTCAGGACCCTCCCAAGACTGCAGGGAGTGTGCTGCCCCCTTCAATGCTGCAAACGGAGTGATCATAGAATAACGTCACGTCGACAGGGTCAGACTCTCAACCCCTCACGTCAAACAGGCGGCCGAAGCTTCCGAAGACACACGCTTCGCGGCGAAGATTGGCACGGCCTGAGGTGGATCGCATCAGATGTTGCTTAGGTTGCATTCGCCAGAAACGAATGTGCTGTCCGTGGTCAAAGCCCTCCGAGCTGGCTAAGCTTTCGAGCATGGGCCGCGAAACTGGTCGTTCCGACACATGTGCCGCAATGGGGCCCCGGCATGCTCCGAGCTGGTGGTGTTGGAGTGCATCACCTTCACGCATTCGGAGCTCTGCGGAAGGGAGGGCTTGAATTTGTGCAGCCTGAGTTTGAACCGTGTTTGCATTCCTCTTCCAGGTTTGAGCTGCTCAAACACCACAGCGTCGCATCGTCTTTTGCGGCAGAAGAATGCAAACCTCGTGCACACACGAAAACAACACATACATATAAATGCACATACATACATTTATGCAGCGAGTGCATGCGTTCGTGCATGCATACTCGCATGCGTCGGTCGGTCGGTCGGTCGGTCGGTCGGTCGGTCGGTCGGTGGGTGGGTGGGTGGGTGGGTGGGTGGGTGGGTGGGTGGGTGGGTGGCTGGGTGGCTGGGTGGCTGGGTGGCTGGGTGGCTGGGTGGCTGGGTGGCTGGGTGGCTGGGTGGGTGGGTGGGTGGGTGGGTGGGTGGGTGGGTGGGTGGGTGGGTGGTCAAGCAGGTAGGTAGGAACATGTGATCGTACAGGCATGTATTGATGTCCGTTTGTCTGCCTGTCTGCCTGCCTGCCTGCCTGCCTGCCTGCCTGCCTGCCTGCCTGCCTGCCTGCCTGCCTGGCTGTTTGTGTGTGTGTGTGTGTGTTTGTGTGTGTGTGTGTGTGTGTGTGCGTGTGTGTGTGTTTGTCTGTCTGTCTGTCTGTCGATCTATCTGTCTGTCTGTCCGTCTCTGTGTCCGTCCGTCCGTATGTATGTATGTATGTATGTATGTATGTATGTATGTATGTACATGTGTTTGTCCAATGCAATGAATGTTTGAGGGTGTGTATAGTTATGCGTGGCAGGTATGTGCGCATACACTTCTGTGTGTGCTCGTTTGGTCTCGTAATACAAAGCCCTTACGAATCCAAAACCCTTATCCCAAAACCCTAAACCCTAAGCCCTAACCCTTAAACCCTAAACCCTAAACCCTATAGGCCCTAAGCCCTAAGCCCTAAACCCTTATCCCAAAACCCTAAACCCGAAGCCCTAACCCTTAAACCCTAAACCCTATAGGCCCTAAGCCCTAAACCCTAATCCCAAAACCCTAAACCCCATCGAAAGCACAAGGGCAGCATTCTCGCGAAGCCGGCCCTTCTCGCAGCACTTCCGCCGGCGCTGGCGGAGCCCACCCCCTGGCGCCTTGGATGCCTCAAAACTGCCCCTAAGGCTCCATGTACCCATATAGTAGACCCTAAACCCTAAACCCTAAACCCTAAACCCTAGATACTTAGGCCTTAAAGGAGTCCCTATATAGGTACTTTAAGGGCTAAGTATCTACTATATGGGCACATGGAGTCTTAGGGTGCCTGACTAGATCCGAACGTTGTGTCAGAACTTTGCGCAGGCTGGCTTTATGATTGCGTCCCCAGACTTGGCTCAAGCGCTGTTCGTTTCTTATGGTTTTCAGAGTTTTCAAGAGAACCGCGGGTAGCAACATGGTGAAGGCCTTGATTCTGGCGCTGCTTCCAGTGGCGCTTGCATTCGCATCATGCCCCAGCGGAGAGTGTGAGGAAAGTGCAGTGGTGCAAGTGCGAAAGTCCGACAAGTCCAAGCGGGACTTGATGATCGGGTATTGGGCTTGGTCATGGCTTGGAGTGTCAGACACCACTCCCGGACCAGAAAACCAAACCATGGGAATCTGTTTCAGTGGATACACAGATGCCCAAAGCAACCTGAACTACTGCATTTCCCAGGGGGTTATTCCTTACATCTGCAGTGGCTCTGAGGTTACTTGCACCAAGTGGTTGACGGTCGGAGGAGCTGGCACGACCACGGACCGACAGGTTTTGAGTGGTACGGTAAGCCTAGCTGCAGCCATCCGGACTGCAGGCTTCGATGGGGTCATCTTCGATTCGGAGTATGTTGAGGCAGTGGCGAATTCCGCAGACCTAGTGGACGACTTTTATGGAGCCACTGCAAACTTGTCGGCTGCAGGCCTAAAGGTTGGAATTACCACAAGCCACAGTGCGCCTTTGGGATGCACCAACTGCATTGCCGCAAATGTGGTGATTGGTTGGCTTGCGGATCCAAACCTTGACTGGATCTCCCCACAGCTCCTTGGTGTTCTTCTGGTTGGCTCTTTAGACTTTAACTTTTTGGGTTTCTATATGAACCATAATGAGGAGACTAAAAGTTTAACTTTTTGGAGGGGTTCAGAAGTCAGCCAAGGCTCTACAGCAATGGCTACACACTGGAGCTCGTGCCAACCTCGGATTGCTCGAGCGAGTCGCCACCATGTACTTGGGACATTTACGAAAACGCCATTGTGCCAATTGTGCCTTCGATCCCTTATGCCTACATGTACGATGAAGCTTCCACGAACGCAGTGGACTTCTTTAAGGACAACTACAACATCACGTTGCAGGGATACATCCAGTGGATCCAAGTAACGGATAGCAGCTTCGATCCCGACCCGAGTCCGAGTCCTTCCCCATCGCCATCGCCCAAGGGTTACTACGGGCGCAAGAAGTGGTTTGGTCGGTGAAAGAGCCAATGAAGTCTTGACAGTTCGATACCAGTTTCAAATTCACAGATGCCAAGGCTAGTACGACGCTCGGTCAGCAAGCAACAGTGGCAATGGTCTGAATTTATGCAAACTTCAGTACTCTTTGACAGGGTCGCACAGGGCTAGACAGTTGTTCTGGTTTGCAAGCTCTAACATGTTCCAAACAGGCCACTAACATCACAGTGAGTGCGGTCGCAAACTGACTGCGCTTGCGAAGAGGCTCCTGTAGTGGAGGCCCTGCCTCCAATGTGAACAGAATTTTGACCGAGGCTTTAGGGTTTAGGCTTTAGGGTTTTATTATGTATGATCATAAGTATGTATCTACGTGTCCCTGCATGGCCAGCTCGACGCGGTTCGCCATCACAACCGGAGTGTCAGCCTTTGCATGCCTACTGCTTCTGAACCAGATATAAGAGTCTGGCACATACGCGCAGCTGAAAAAAGCGTCATGTTTTTTTAGCCCGGACTGAGAGTGCTATAGGGGTTGATCGACCGCTGGCTTCAGCGGCAACCTGACACTTGCAAAGACAAATTAAGGGGTTCGCCGCCCAGACGTGCTCATCGCCACAGACTAGCCAAATCCAGGAAGACAATTCATTGCAGGTTCTGGCTGGGAATTGTCATGTAAGGTTGAGGGGTGTTGTGGTTTAGGACTCTGCGTTGAATGCTGTTGGAGAAGAGGGAAGAAAGGACGGGATGTTGGCGAGTTCACTGTTTAGGCTTCTGCGAAGGCATGCAGGCGAAGGTGCGTCTTGTGACGAACTGCCCAGTGCTTCCAGCAAGTTGCTGAGGGCACCCTTCCAAGCGGCCTGTGTCGCGTTCAACGGGCCGTTGGGCGGCTAGGGAGCCCTTCGCGCTATAAGGTCTTACCCATAGGCCCCATTGTGGTTCCTTTTGGGGATTACCTTCTAGGATTCTAAATGTGAACCCCAAAAGGAACTACTTTGGGGCCTCTGGGTAGAGGCATGTTGTTATTTCATTTCTGCGGATCCAAGATGCCCGGAAAGACTTAAAAACCCCCCATGCTCTGCTCAAGCCGTGAAATCCCCCGAATCGCGTGGACTAGGCCGGGAACACCCTTTCTCCGTGCAGCGGCAGATGCCGGCCAGGTCCGACTTGGGGTTTAGGGTTCAGGGTTT